AGTATAAAATGACACTCAAAAAGCAACAAAAAGTTGCGAAATGACTAAAGACATTGACGTGTTATTCATCCACCATTTGGTATAACAGCCATGGCGTAGATCTGTACTAACACAGAATTTCCTCTTTGTCTGTCTGACTATGCCAATTGTCTGAATCCATGCATGTCATGTTGCAATGATGGCAGACACGCAAAGCCAGACAGACAGACAGTAGCTTGAGTTAGCCTGGCAAGCTAACAGGCTTATTTTTTTTTTAAATACAAGGAAAATATAAGCCTGCTGGAAATAATGTCAAATTTATCAGTGTTGTTAAATGACGACAAAGATTGTCAGAGATATGTTACAGAAAAACGGAAGCTTAACCTGATCGGTTAAATATAATGATATTGAATACATTAGAGGGACAAATTGCAGCATGCTATGTCTTGGAGCTTGTATCTACTGCTTGTACTTCATTAGTTTTATTCGTCAGCACCAGCAATAGCTTGTACCTACTAATTGTGCGTTGGTGACACTGTTGACTCAAAGGTCACTGTGACCTCAAAATTACCTAATTATCATAACTCAAGAATATAATGGTAAATATGACAACATTATGACATAATAACATTTTTGTACTTAAAAGGACAAAGGTCAGTTTCACTGTGACATGATAATGTCCTGTCATTTGACTGCAAACAACATTTTGGAGTGCACCTAGATGATAGTGATCCTGTGAGTGAGTTTCACCTACAGCTCACAGAGAAAACAAAAGCACCACATTTTGTGTAGCTATATTCTAAAGATCCTTTTTACATAGTAATACAGTGCATGTGTACCTGTTTAGCCAATGCAACTATTATAATCCTTCATTAATCCGTCCAACAATATACACTATAGTGCCTGGCTCGCATTCTCCGCTCTTATTCATCCCGAAGGTGTTCTGGCGGGTTGGGACTCTGTACAGATCAGTCAAGTTCTCCACACCAAATTCTCTCATCCATGTCTTTATGGATCTTGCTTTGTGCACTGGTGCACAGTCATGTTGGAACAGGAAGGGGCCATCCTCAAACTGTTCCCACAAAGTTGGGAGCATGAAACTGTCCAAAATGTCTTGGGATGCTGAAGCATTAACAGTTCGTTTCACTGGAACTAAGGAACCATACCCAACCCCTGAAAAACAACCCCACTGCATAATCCCCCCTCCACCAAACCTTACACTTGGCACAATGCAGTCAGGCAAGTACTCTTCTCCTGGCAACTGCCAGACCGCTCTAGTGTCCAGTGGCAGCGTGCTTTACATCACTGCATCAGATGTTTTGCATTGCACTTGGTGATGTATGGCTTGGATGCAGCTGCTCGGCCATTGAAACCCATTCCATGAAGCTCTCTACGCACTGTTCTAGAGCAAATCCGAAGGCCACACGACGTTTGGAGGTCTGTAGCTATTGGCTCTGCAGAAGTTGGCGACTTCTGCGCACTGTGAGCCTGCGCATGCACTGACCCTGCTCTGTGATTTTATGTGTCCAACCACTTTGTGGCTGAGTTTCTGTTGTTCCCAATTGCTTCCACTTTGTTATAATACCACTAACAGTTGATTGTGGAATATTTAGTAGTGAGGAAATTTCACGAATGTCCTTATTGCATAGATGGCAACCCATCACCGTCCCACTCTTGAATTCACTGAGCTCCTAAGAGCGACCCATTCTTTCACAAATGTTTGTTGAAGCAGTCTGCATGCCTTGGTGCTCGATTTTATACACCTGTGGCCATGGAAGTGATTGGCACGCCTGAATTAAATGATTTGGAGGGGTCACCCAATACTTTTGGCAAAATATATATTCATTCATAGTTCCATCAATATAACAATGACTTCCATAATAATAATAATTGTTAGCATAAACAATTACATCCACACAAAGAATAGGGTTTAATTTTATCAATACACTGAATTTGGATTTTTATTAATGAAAGTGATTAATTTGGATTTACTTTTAACTTTTAAAAAAATAAAATCAGAAGGTTAACATTGTATCAAAGAGTTTTTAAGTTAGTGTTGTCTGCAAGTTACATTTTAATTGTACTCAAACTCCAGTGAGCCTTCCTGGCTTTGTGTCTAAAAGGCAGTAACATTCTTTCACAAGTATTTAATGTAGTTGACTGTGGCAGACTGTGCGTGAAGAAATAAAACTTCCCTGTATAAACAAATGTTTAAAAACAGCTGTGAAAAATGTTGTGTGATTCAGTGTTCTGTCATCTACCTGTGTAGAAACTACGGTGTCCACCATTGTGCATTCCTGTGCATTACTCACTATGGCTGACATATTGATCATAAGTAGTTTTTAATTATGCAAGCTGTGGGGTGGCATGGTTGTCATGAAAACAATCCCATAACTAGGGAAGGATCATGTGCATGTCGTCTTCTCTCATTTTATTCAGTCTGAGGCAAAGCCCAAAAGTTGTCTTTGTTTAAAGTTGTACTCAGAGTGTTTGGATTAACAGTGATTGATTGTAAGCAGAACGAGCCCTTTTAAACAAAAGCCACATGGCTAACAATTATCTGCTTTAATGGACAGAGATTTGGTAAAATGATGTCATCCTATCCTGTGATCTGATGTGTGTTTTAGCAAATACTTTAGGTTATCATCCTGTACATATCTGTATCCACTTCCTGTATATGATGACTAACCTGTACTACTTGTTACTTGTTAAGATAAAGAGCTAAATACCAGCACATAAAAGTTATAAATAAAATAATAAAAAATAAAAAACAAATTAAAATAAAACACTTTAGACTCTGTTCTGCTACTTCTGCTCAGATTTCCATGCATGAGTAGCTGCATCCTTTGTCGTCTTCTGCCCATCAACCTTTGCACAACCCAAGACATGTAAACAGACTTTAATGTGTAAAATCAGTGAAGCTTCTATAATTAATCTCATTTTCATTTAGCCATTATTTCACCTGACCTCCTTGTTAATGGTAATGCTTTTAATGTGGTTTGTTCGTTGACCTAAAAGGGTCAGCTAAAAGCCTAAGAAATAATGTCTATTTTCTGTTAGAAAACCAGAAGAATAACAAAAATTTTAAGATTGATTTTTCTTGTCTGTTTTCAAACAATCAGAACTTTTCATATTGTGATGACAATTTACCTGAAATGAAGTGGGAACTTTCACTTCTTCAGATTCTGATTATGCCTGAGCCTCTAGGACAGTGGTCGGCAAGTAAGTTTGGCATCAGGCTTTGTTCCAGATTGAAACAAACTCTACCTTGTTTATTGGACTTGATAGGAATCTTTGGCACCTTCTCAGGGTATAAAATAAATAACAATAAATCAGGAGTAATGAAAGGCAACCCCCCCCCCAGTCTTTTCTCCATTTCTTGTGTCAAAACAGGGATTTACTTATTTAGATATCAAAATTACCCCTACTATTGATGAAATTATTGCCAATTATAACCCTCTCACAGAGGCAGTTATACAGATAAATTACCCATATCTTTAATTGGATGTATTAACATCTTAAAAATGACAATAATAAGTACATTTTTGTATCTCTTCCAATAAATCCCCCCAAAACATCTCAAGCTTTATTTGGAATAACAAGCGCCCACAACTCAGGCTGTCCTTATTGAATCTGCCATATGATGGAGGGTCTTCCAAAGGTAAAGTGTCTGATTTATATAATGAAAATTAATTTATGCCGTTTGAAGATCTAAAAAATAAATATGGTATCCCAGCTAAACATTTCTTTAAATATCTCCAAATTAGAAGTTATATTATATCTAAACAGGGTAATAGTTTGACACTTCCCCCTTTGTAGACATTAGAATTTAGAAGCTAAAGGGCAAGTGTCTGTGCTATATAATTTGTTTGTGAGTAAATCCAAAAAAAAAAAGCCTGCTCAGTGACCCAAACTGTTACTACAAATACCATTCTGCTACAATATAAATGGCTGAGTAGACAGTACATCACGCCAGCCTGGCTATTTTAAATGTTACAGTCAGAAAGGTTCACTGTTCCACTGCACATGGGATTGTCCTCACATTATTTATTTTTTTGGAGGAAGTTACTTAATCTCATTAGTCACATTGTTGGTAAAAAACCTACCTCTTAATCCCAAGCTATGTATCATGAATATTTACGCTGTTTTTTTTCCCGATTTCAAAGAATTAAAAATCTTTACTTACTGCCTGCCTCTTGAAAGCTAAATGGTGCATCACTCGTTCCCCGTAGCAGTGCTAATGTTCAGTCTATGTTGTTATTTTAATATTACTGCTATTTTGTAGATATTGTACCCTTTAAATTCCTTTAAAACAATAAATATATATTTTAAAAGTGTGGCACCGGGCCATTCTTTAAAATTCATTAGATGGCAGGCCAGAACATAGTAAAAGGATAATTAAAAATAATTTCTCAGTGTATATCCACATCCATCAACCTAAGGATGCTTATTTTCATTTCCCCAGCATCCCCAGGCAGAAGAAATTCCTGCACTTCTGATTCAGGGGAATCCAGTCTTACATTTCCTAATAGACATTTCAGAAGTGTGTTAAGCTAGCCACAGTCTCTTTTGAATGTCCAAGCTCTTAATTCAACTTAAAAGAAAGCATTGCTGCAAAAAAAAGCTTTTGTGCACTTTTATTTTGTAGGCAAATAAACGAGGGAGATTATGTAAGTTACTATTGCTGTCACGACTGAGATCTATTTCAGCACCAGCTGCTATCAAAGTATTCCGTGGGCAAGATATTATTGCTGGAGGACCAGTTTTGGCCCACGGGCCGCCTGTTGCAGGCTACTGCTCAGACCACTCTTCAGTTGCAAAGCAGAGTTTAACTTTTACTGGAACTAATGTTATTGGTTTTTTTTTCCAAAGGGTGGATAATAGTGCAAAATGACTTTTATAAGCAAACAAAAACACGCTTTTCACATGTAGTAGCAGTGTTTTGCCAATGTCTTTAACACGTGGAGGTTAAAAGGTGATCAACACAGAACATACTGTTCATTAAACTCTAATGACTGGCTGTTGAGAAAGCAGGAGATGTTGCATGTTTTGGGAATTCTCCAGATTGCCTCGATAACATTAGCAGATGACTGAAAAGTTTAACAGACCTGCTTTGTTTTTCATCATCTCCTGAGGAATTCACCTTCCAGCCACTCCATATCAGTATGTTACAATGTAAGCCCCACTTTGCAATTTTTCAAGAACTGTTAACTGGATAGCTGACTATTTTGTGCATCTCTGAAAATAGCAATTCCCCTTGGCGGGATAGCCAGAATGCAGCAGCAAGAACTAAGAAAAGTGGGATTTCTACAGTGGTGACATCTTTAAATTAAATATTCTGGTGAAACAATTGTTTTAACATCTTGAAAATTGTATACTCTAAAGATGCATGGACTCAACTAAAGTCATTTTTAACATTAATGTAAGTGGGAACCTGACAAAAAAGCTTAACCAAGCCATGAGTAAATTAACCATACCTTATTCTAATTAACTACTTATTTTTAATTTCTGGATTAAAAATATACAGAAATGTGTGGCAGCATTTTCATTCAGTATCAACTTCTGTAAAACATGGGCCATTTTCATCGTGTAAATGCAAATGAACAAAAAAATTATTTCTAAAATTACACCACAGAGAAATTAGCAACTGTCCCTCACTTATTAGATAAAAATAAATCCAAAATAGCAACAGCAGTGGTTAAAGCGTGTGACATCTCCACATCACCAAAACAACTGAAGGGAAATTCAGCAGACTAACATCTTATATTTCATTATGTTTATCTAAAGGTGCCCTTCAATCTTAAAAAAAGTTAATTATTTCTGCCACCTGGGGGCCAAATGCAAATCTTCCTATAACAACATCAAATCAGTTTTATACATCTATAATTTACAAATATGCTTCTTAACCTAAAGCGACTTTATGTAAGTTGTTTTTTTTTAGCTATTTGGCGCCCATACTGTTTCAGAGTGAATTTAACCACTGTTGAACATAAAAGCAGCTGTACACATTTGTTATGATTACATTATGATCAAGAACTAAGTCGCCAACCATCAAGCAAGACAGGACAAGATTACATACAACAGAAAGAATGCCAGCTTGGCGTCTGTCTTGCAGCCTTTTATTTCTTCTTCGGTCTCTTTGCAGCCTCTGCCATGATAGCCATACTGATAATACAGAGCTTGCTCCTTCCAAAAAAATTACATTGAACATTTTAAACTTTTTTCTTCTTCTTATAGCTTGCTTGCTGAAGCGTGATGCTGGTCCTGTAAACTATTATGCTGTTGTCGTCGTGAGAAAAGTCCTGCAGGGATTTCAAAGTTACATAGCGGTGAGCCTGGAGTGGCAATGACTCGGAGACTTCATTCACCTTATGACAAGTCAGTGTACCATCAAAATGATTTTGAAGCTGTTATTTTAAGATTAAAATACAAATCTTCTACTAAATACTACGCCATCTACTAAAAATGTTGCTTTAACTTAAAGTGATATAGTGCATCCTGTTACTTTAAGGTAGGCACAGTAGCTTTAGACCTTGTTCAACACTAACGCAACTAAGAGACAGATTGGAAAAACGGTGATACATACATTGTTCATAAAAATCCTGTCAATGCCAATAAATAGCACATTACTTAAGACCTTCTCAGAAAATTACACTTGTCATTACTTCTCTATTCAGGAGACTTCAACCTTGAGATCAGACATTCAACTACCACAGGATGGACTCAACAAGAAGTCAAAATTTACAACACACCGATACCATTTTCTTTTAACCCCTTGACACCTGATTGCATGTACAATTATCATTATTATACAAAAAAAATAATTATGTGTTTTTGCTTTGAAGTTGCTAAATAAAGTGGAGATTATTAATTTGTCTATAGCAACATAGAATAGATAAAAATTTAGGTATGATGCAAATTAGTGATAACAGGCATAAACCAGTGCTTGCAAAAGGTTCCTTGGTACGTATCAAATAAGCACAAACTGGCATTGGGGGAATACATACGCTATCTCGGCAGCAGTCTGAATTGAAGCGGGCACCAAAAGACGACATGTTGTATACAGGTGCATCTATTGTGTTAAAGTAATTTTATTCTGTAATTTAATTCAAAAAGTGAAACTTTCATATTTTAGATTCATTACACAAAGTGAACTATTTAGACTTTTTTATGTTTTAATCTTGACGATTATAACTTACAGATCATGGAAACTTTAAAACTTTATCATCTGAAAATGTATTATAATTTTAGAATAAAGAATTTCTAATACAGAAATATTGAACTGAGAAGAGCTCTAATCATAACTATAATAATAATAACTCAAAACGCCTGCAAAGGCTTCCTGAGCCTTTAATCTTGGTCTGGTTGTGGTGCTCCCAATGAATTTTTTGAGATCCACCTGTAATTTGAGTGTTTTTTTTTTACTGAGCACAGATTGTGGATTTGTCAAAACAAATTCAACATTCAGTTTCTAAGGAAATATGAAGTAGCGAGTATATGTTGAAATAGACCAAAACGGTTCAAAAGTGTTTCAGTTAGCCAACATGAGTTACAACATGTCTTATTTTCAACATGTTTGCATGTGTGCGGTGAACAAACCGCAGCAGAGATGGAGGACACATTGTTCTTTTAAAATTACTTTTAAAGTTTATTCAAAGAAAAAAACCTTCAGGAAAATACATGACTTCCTGTCATACATAGAGAGGACATAAGTTAGAGTAGCATGGCAGAAACAGCAGAGGAAAACCACGTCGCCTCACGTCCAAGCCTGCAGGGAACGTTACCGCAATGTTTCCACTTTGAAGCAGCTCTATGTGAATACCTGAAATGAACAACACATGTGTTCTTTATTGTTTTGTAAGTAGGTTATTTAGTGGGTTAGGGTGAGATGACAAACAAATTAAAATCTCCAAGAAAAACCGGGCTCAAAAAGCAAAATCAAAGAATTAAAAAAGACACATTTGCATTGAACATAAATACCGTGATGCACATTAGTGTAACAAAACATTGCTTCTGTAAACATTTTCTCCACCTAAGGTGAGCGTAATAATATTAAATCACCGCAGTCATATATTTACGTGTACATAGACTTACAGAAACAACAAACTATTGTTAAGCTTCTCGACTAGCGCTAAAACTTAAGAATACACAATGCTTCAAGTGATTTTTTTGAACAGGATTTCCAAGTAGTGGTTTTCATAGCAAGATTTACACATTTTAAATGCTGCCCTCTTGGCACTTTTTCCAATGTGAGTGGGCAAAGGATTGACTTTTATCATCAGATATAGACATATCATCCTTTTTTCCCCCATTAATAATATCAATAATAACCACACTTTTTTTTCATTAAATCCATACAGCCACTCATCAAGGCCGTGATGCACAAACTGGGTACTACTGCGCACACAGACCTCAGACGACGACAGCATTGGGGTCCAAAGAGCTTTTCTGTTCAAGGTGAGGAGAACGTTTCTGACTGTAACCTTTCCACATGTAAAAGCACTGGTAATGTGTGTAATTGCTGTCATCAGGGGAAAAACACACCCAAGGTAAACTTGTTTGTGACCTGACGAAGACATGTTTGGACATGAAGTGAATGCACATATTGGACTCTCCCCTTTGCCCCTTTCTGTCAGTGAACAATGTGCAATCTCTCAGAGTTGTAATGGAAACGGAAATGGCCTGAAGGAGGTCGATGCTGCAGTTTGCTGCTCAGTCTTTCACATATACAGACAACTTAAATAACAGCTGGAGCAAGAAGTGTGGGGCACAAAATAGAGAAAACGATTCCTTCCCAAAAAAGTGGGTTTCCGTCTTCAGTTTCTGAACAGAAACAGCAGAGTGAGGAAAAGCTCTGCTCCGTGTTACCTGTTTTGTGACACTTCATCACAGTAATATGGAAATCCAGAGTCTGAGTGTTGAATTGATAAGGTTTACGTCCTCATTTTATGGGAAAGAGTGCGGGAAAGGAATTACGTAAGCAGGACTCACAGGATGTCAGAAAACCCTCCTCAGCTCTGATACACTCTAGGTGTTTGCTCCCACACAGATTCTCACAGCTAAAGAAAAGGTTGCTAAAGAAATAGAGAATGGCCAGCCCCAGAAAATATCTACACCTGACGTAGAGGCTCCGCTGCTGCAGCTTTCAATCTTATTAAATCGAAATTGAACATCTAGGATTGATCACTTGTGACAAGATACAAAGCAAAAACATCATCTCATGCCTTGGACCACCACACAGTAACACGTCTTTCTACATTCTTGACACTTAGTGCATTGCATTCATACAAATGAAAAATTAAGTGATTTGAAATAACTAAATGGAAGATACAAAGCCGCCTTCCGGGGGAAAAAAATCCTCTGCTGAAACAAACTTGCTAACCATGCGTTTACCTCTCTGCCACGAAAATCCAATTCGTCGTTGACACTTTACTCTCCGACCACACACGCACACACATACTGAACTTTCTCCTCTACTTTATCGCTCCATTATCATCTTTGTTTTCATTGTATATCTGACTATTCACAGCAGTTCAAGTTTCTCGAGTTGAGAGACATTGGCGTGACCGCCCTATGATGAGTTTATCATGTTTGTCATGTTTGACCATTGGGGGAAAACATGACCACTGACACTATCTGGAAGATTACATGAACTTTTATTGTACACAGACACCTTTATTTTATTTTTTGAACTGCACCCACATCTCTTTCTTCTTAGACAAGCACACCTTGTACTTATGTGGGTTCAAAGTAAAAGCAAGCAAACCGTGGGCTGTGGGTGGATGTGCGTAAATCTTAGAAAAACAAGGTAAGAGACATGTTTTACTCCACATAGTTACACTTATCTTCAAGGAATAATAATAATAGTAATAATTCAAAAAATACTATTCTGATATCCACCTGCTTCAACATCTTTCTCTCACTGTCATCCCCTTTTTTAAAGCACCTGTCTGAACAACACAATACTTCAACAACACACACACATACCCTCCTGTCGAGTCCCATCAATCAGACTTACAGTAGAACCTCAAATATTAGGCCCCTCTCGCCTGCTTGTCACCTTGACGAGTCCAGCTGGCTCCAGGGTTTTACAATTTACCCCTGGCTGACGGTCCCGACCTCTAACCAGCATGTCAGGAGTAATTGGACCAAACAGAAGTACATTTACACAAACTACTGTAGCATTAATACAACAGACTCCCACCCCACCGGCCCCATGAAACGCTCATTAGAAAGGGTGGAGGGCAGGAATGTGGGTCAGAGGGGGAACTCTCCTACAAGAGGCAGACCTGCAGAAGGTAGTAGCAATAGTAATAATAATAGGGGTAGCGGTACTAGTACTTAGAAGACCTCAAGCTTACTGACAAGCTCAGGAGCATGGAAATGATGCAGAGGTACAAAATCTATGCCATCGCAATCTGATGAGCACCAAGAAAAAAGTTATTTGCCCCCTTTTCATAAATTCACATTAATTGTATTTCTTTTTTCTTTTATATATTAATTAATAACTGATTTAATTTTGTATGTGAGTTGTCACTTCAGGTATTTCAGGAGGCGACAAATGCGTGACTTGACCAGTTATCGCTGCGTGGCAGGCGGCCCCGAAGCTCCGATGCAGCAAGGCTACAGCTCCAGAGGAATGGTGAGGGCTGGTTGGTGGTTGTGATAGTTCTCTTTTGATTGTCCGAGGGCTGACAAGACATCGACAGTGGGTTCTGAGATCCAGTGTTAGCGAGGTTGGAGGACAATGAGGGGGAGAAAGAGGAGGAAGAGGGTAGGGTTGGACCTCTACCAGCTGAGCAGGTTGCTTCGGCCCAGGGTCATAAAGTAGACCTGGCTGGAGCCCCCAGACCGAACGGAGGCGAAGAACACCTGAAGAGAAGACACAGACAGACAAATGGAGATTATTATTAGATGTAATTTTCTGGTGGCTTCTGGTGTAGCCACTGGATATTCAGATAATGGACTGTGTGCCGGTCATTGTTTACAGATCGATTAGCAATCTTGGAATCCATGGGCTCTCATCAAACGACAATTTGAGTGCAAATATCTTTTTAAAACAGCTAATTAAAAGCTAATCTCTAGGGTTCCGAGATTGAGAAAAAGCTAAATAATAATCTATTTTATTCTCCAGACCAGGGGCGGCGCGGTGGTTAGCACTGTCACCTCACAGCAAGAAGTTTGTGGGTTCAAACCCCGGTTGCCCCGGCCTTTCTGTGTGGAGTTTACATGTTGTCCGCGTGGGTTAGGCTAGGTTAATTGGTGTTTCCAAAATTGTCCTTAGGTATGGATGCGAGTGTAAGTGGTTGTCTGTGTACATGTGGCCCTGTGATGGACTGGCGACCTGTCCAGGGTGCCTTTTGCCCGATGTCACCTGGGACTGGCTCCAGCCCCCCGCAACCCTGTACGCAGGATAAGCGGTTGACGATGGATGGATGGATTCTCCAGACCAACCAAAGATGATTTCTCAGTAGTACTGACTACAAACAGAAACCTGAATGGTTCTGATACTTGAATACCAGATTCTGCATTCATTGACTGGATTGACCTAATCCACATATTAGTCAACTAATTGATTAAGACGGGGCATCGTAAAAACTCAAATTCCCATATATTACAGTCTTCAAAAGTTTACATCATTTCCAGTACTATCACAGCTGCGGAGAATTTCATCTCCTATTCTTCTCGTTACTTACTTCTACTTCTACGCACTTACTTCTCGTTAGTCCAAACATATCAGCAAAGTTTAGAGAAGAGAAACTAGAGAAGTTTGAAGTGACTTCCACAGCTAAACCAGCAGAGACTGAGCAAACAGGAAGTGACTTTGGAAGAGCTCTGTTTTACAGATACTTAAATCCAACATGTTTGATGCTTTGTGTGGAAATCAGTGTGTGCTTCTATGCTGTTTGGATGAGTAAGCCTCACAATAATAGAATTTGAAGGTGCCTCTTTTTTTAAATATAGCCATTTTTTATCATGCTGTGTTGCCCCCATTTCTTGTCATTCATTTTCGTCTAGCAGGCGCCCAGCTGGCTGGAAGATGTTTGATTTGCTTGTCCCGACTTGCAGATTAGGTCAGGATGTGTTGTTGAATGTCTACATCAAGGTCTCACCTTGTCATTTCTTTCGCAGAGGAACTTGAGTCTCTGGGCTCTCTTGTGCATGAAGACGCCATCCAAATGGCCGGTCTCCACCGAGCGGATCTCTATGGCCTTCTCTCCCCAGCCCATGATCTGGTTGGAACGAATGTAGGCTGCAAAAGAAGTATTTAAGTTAAATGACAGTTCTAATTGAACTGATTATGATATTGAACACTCATGCAGATTGTTCCAAAGACTTTAGTGCGTTTGTATGTACAGATGTTCCCTCTGCAGCTACAGGATAAATGATAAATGCAAGAGGCTTGTGAGGCGAAATACAATAGCTGTGTGCATGTGTTAGATAATGATAAATCAATGACAATCATCATGGAGAATATTACCCAGCAGGAATAGATTAACCAACAAAAGTTACATGGAGAGGAAGTAAGAAATATTACACAATGAAAACCTATGTTGAGTAAAGTTAATGTGAAACAAATTCTAAGGAGGCCACACATGTCAGGAAAAAAATAATGAGTTTTTCTACACAAAATGATTACAAATTTTTCTCTCCCTTGTCCTATATTTGCTTTTGTTCTTATGACCTTTTCAGGCCTGTAAATATTACTCAAATGTAACAACCTCAGAAAGGTCTGGTGGAACTGTTCACAAATCACTGATACATAATAAGGAAGATGTGGTTGTAGGTGCTCTGATCTCCTGTTGATGATTGGACGTACTGCTGACGTATTGCGGTAAGCGTGTCGACTCATTTCCGTTTCCGGTGCTTGTGTGTTGGTACCGTGTTGTGCTGCTCTCGCTAAATAACAGTTACATTTGTTAGATTCCAGCGGCCAACTGTCCGCTAAACACTTATTCTTACAGTAATTTTGCCTAAGCACTCACAGTTCTTTCCATCTTTTAGTGACTGCTGTTCAATCTCATAGTTGTTCTGAAGTTTTGGTAGCTGACGCTACAGTACTTTAGCTTAGCCGTTAGCGACTTTAGCTTAGCAGCTAGCGATGGCTTCTCCTTCTCCCTCTCTCTCTCCTACTTTCTCCTGCTCGGTGTGTCAGATGTTCAGTTACTCCTCTGCCTCCTTTAGCGGTAATGGTACGTGTAATAAGTGTAGTTTATTTATAGACATGGAGGCGAGGCTCAGTGATTTAGAAGTCCGGCTCCGCACCTTGGTAGATCAGTCTTTAGCTACTGTAGCTAGCCAGTCCCCGGTAGTCGGTGCGGAACGGCCTGAGTTAGCCTCTGGTAGCCGTCCCCCGGCATCCCCTGTGCAGCCAGGAAGGGGTGGCTGGGTGACTATCCGAAGGAGGAATAGTCGTAAGCATTCAAAGTCCACGGGGCACCATCAACCTGTTCACGTTTCTAACAGATTTTCCCCACTCAGCGACACACCCGCTGAGAAATCAACTCTGATCATTGGCAGCTCCATTTTGAGAAACGTGAAGTTAGCGAAGCCAGCGGCCATAGTTAAGTGCATCCCTGGGGCCAGAGCGGGCGACATTGAGTTTTATTTGAAACTGCTGGCTAAGGATAAACGTAAATACAGTAAGATTGTTATTCACGTCGGCGGTAATGACTCCCGGTTACGCAAATTGGAGGTCACTAAGATTAATGTTGAGTCGGTGTGTACATATGCAAAAACAATGTCGGACACCGTAGTTTTCTCTGGCCCCTGCCAAATCTGACCAGTGATGACATGTATAGCCGCATGTCATCATTCCGCCGCTGGTTGTCGAGGTGGTGTCCAGCAAACGATGTGGGCTTTGTAGATCATTGGCAGACTTTCTGGGGAAGACCTGGTCTGATCCAGAGAGACGGCATCCATCCCACTTGGGAAGGAGCAGCTCTCATTTCTAGAAATCTGGCCAAGTTTATTAGTGGACCAAATCCATGACAACCCAGAGTTGAGACCAGGAGGCAGAGTCGCAGTCTAACACACTTCTCTGCCCTTCTTTTTCAGCAGTTACCCACCCAAAACCCTACGCAGAGTCGCAGTCTAATACACTTCTCTGCTCCTCCATTTCAGGAGTTACTTAGTGAAAATCCTATAGTGACGGTGTCTGCCCCCCGACCATCGAAATTATTTAAAAACAGAAGAGGAGCTGTGCATAAAAACCTCATAAAAATTAAAACCACAAGAGCAATAGTGCAAACGAATAGGAGAGTTAAATGTGGACTCTTAAACATCAGATCTCTCTCTTCTAAAGGTGTACTAGTAAATGAACTAATATCAGATTATGATATTGATTTATTTTGTCTTACTGAAACCTGGGTGATGGAGAATGTTAGCCTAAATGAATCCACCCCTCCCAGTCATATTAATATTCACATTCCTCAAGGCACAGGCCGAGGAGGTGGAGTTGCAGCTATCTTCGACTCTAGCCTACTAATCAGCTCTAAACCTAAACCAAACTACTTTTATGAAAAACTCATTTGAAAGTCTTGTTCTTAGTCTTTCGCACCCAAGTTGGAAATCACTGCAACCAATTCTCTTCGTTATAGTGTACTGAGCACCTGGCCCGTATTCTGAATTCTTATCTGAATTTGCAGAGTCCTTAAAACGGACAAAGTTATTATTGTATGGGGATTTTAATATTCATGTGGACGTTGAGAATGACAGCTTTAGTACTGCGTTTATCTCTCTGTTAGATTCCATTGGCTTCTCTCAGTGTTCATGAACCGACTCACTGTTTTAACCACACCCTCGACCTTGTTTTGGTGTATGGTATTGAAATTGAACATTTAGTGGTGTTCCCACAGAATCCCTCTTTGTCCGACCACTGTTTGATAACTTTTGAGTTTGTATTGCTGAACTACACGCCATTGGGCAAAAATTTCTATACAAGATGTCTGTCTGATAGTGCTGTAGCTAAATTTAAGGATGCGATTCCATCAGCTCTAAATACATTATCTAGTCACAAAGTAACGGAGGACTCCTATGCTAGTTTCAGTCCCTCCCAAATTGATCATCTTGTTGATAGTGCTGCAGGCTCGCTGCGAATGACACTGGACTCCGTAGCCCCTCTAAAAAAGAAAATACTAAAACAAAGACGGTTAGCTCCATGGTATAATACTGAAACTCGCAAATTAAAGCAAATATCGCGGAAACTTGAGAGGAATTGGCGTTCCACCAAAGTGGAAAATTCTCGTTTAATTTGGCAAGATAGTCTTAAAACTTAGGAAGGCCCTCCGTAATGCCAGAGCAGCGTACTACTCGTCATTAATAGAGGAAAATAGGAACAACCCCAGGTTTCTTTTCAGCACTGTAGCCAGGCTGACAGAGAGTCACAGCTCTATTGAGCCAAGTATTCCCATAGCTCTCAGTAGATACGACTTCATGAGCTTCTTCAATGATAAAATTCTAGCTATTAGAGACAAAATTCACCAAGACCTGCCCTCAACTGGCACCAACTTATCTCTTAACTCAGGAACCTTAGAAACAGCTGTAGAACCAGATATATGTTAAGACTGTTTTGCTTCACTCAATCTTTACCAACTAACTTCAATAATTTCTTCATCTAAACCATCAACCTGCCTCTTAGACCCCATCCCGACTAGGCTGCTTAAAGATGTTTTACCCTTAGTCAGCACCTCTATACTAGATATGATCAATCTATCTTTATCAACAGGCTATGTACCACAGTACTTTAACGTAGCTGTAATTAAACCTCTTCTGAAAAAGCCCAAACTTGATCTGGATGTTTTAGCCAACTATAGACCTATATCTAACCTTCCATTTCTCTCTAAGGTTCTGGAGAAAGCAGTTGCTAAACAGCTGTGTGACTTTCTACAGAGCAATAGTTTATTTGAGGATTTTCAGTCAGGATTTAGAGCTCATCATAGCACAGAGACAGCACTGGTGAAAATTACTAACGACCTCCTTATTGCATCAGACAAAGGACTTGTCTCTGTACTGGTTTTATTAGATCTTAGTGCTGCATTTGATACCATTGACCATCAGATCCTATTGCAGAGACTGGAACATTTCATTGGCATTAAAGGAACCGCTCTAAGCTGGTTTAAGTCCTATTTATCAGATCGATTTCAGTTTGTACATGTTAACGAGTCCTCCATGCATGCCAAAGTTAGTCATGGAGTTCCTCAAGGATCTGTCCTCGGACCAATCCTCTTCACTTTATATATGCTTCCTTTAGGCAATATTATCAGGAAATATTCCATAAGCTTTCATTGTTATGCAGATGATACTCAGTTATATCTATCGATCAAACCAGATGAAACTCATCAGTTAGCTAAACTTCAAATGTGCCTTCAGGATGTTAAAACCTGGATGACCTGTAATTTTCTAATGTTAAACTCAGATAAAACTGAAGTTATTGTTCTGGGGCCTAAGCACCTCCGTGACGCATTATCTAAAGATATAGTTTCCCTTGATGGCATCGTCCTGGCCTCCAGCACCACTGTGAGGAATCTTGGAGTTATCTTTGATCAGGACATGTCGTTTAAGTATCACATTAAGCAAATTTCAAGGACCGCCTTTTTTCACCTACGTAATATTGTGAAAATCAGGAACATCCTGTCTAAAAATGATGCAGAAAAACTAGTCCATGCATTTGTTACTTCTAGGCTGGATTACTGCAATTCTTTATTATCAGGCTGCTTGAAAAAGTCCGGTAAGACTCTTCAGCTGATCCAGAATGCTGCAGCACGTGTTCTGACAGGAACCAGGAAAAGAGATCATATTTCTCCTGTCTTAGCTTCTTTGCATTGGCTTCCAGTAAAATCCAGAATAGAATTTAAAATCATTCTTCTTACCTACAAAGCTCTTAATGGTCAGGCACCATCTTATCTTAAAGAGCTCATAGTACCTTACTACCCCACCAGAGGACTGCGCTCCCAGAAAGCAGGGTTACTTGTGGTTCCTAGAGTCTCCAAAAGTAGACTTGGAGCCAGAGCGTTCAGCTATCAAGCTCCTCTCCTGTGGAACCAGGTTCCAGTTTGGGTTCAGGAGGCAGACACCATCTCCACATTTAAGAGTAGGCTTAAGACTTTCCTCTTTGATAAAGCTTATAGTTAGGGCTGGCTCAGGTGAGTCCTGAACCATCCCTTAGTTATGCTGCTATAGGCCTAGACTGCCGGGGGATTTCCTATGATGCACTGAGCTCCTCTCTCCTCTACTTTCTCTCCCTCTGTATGCAACCTCATCCCATTATTGCATGTTACTAACACAACTTCTCCCCTTTCCCGTAGTCTTGTGCTTTCTCGTCCCTCTCCTCTCTCCTCCTATCACTTCCTGCAGGTTTTCTGGCTCTGGAGCTGTGGAGTCTGGATCTGTGGCTGCGGGTCACCTGCTGCCCCCGTGTTCCTGCTCGACACCCTCTGCTGCAACGACTATTGTTGCTAGTCTTATTGTTATTATAATAATTAACATTACGACTGTTACCATTAACACTACTATAAATATCTGTACCATTTTTTCATTTAGTCTATAGCAACATCACCTTTACTGTCTGTACCTCTGTGTGTATATTGTGTAGGCTGCCTCCCTCCCCTCTCTCTCTCCTTACATCCCTCTCTTTTTCTCTCTGTTCCTCTCCTGCTCTCTCTCGCGCGCTCTCGCTCTCTCTCTCGCGCTCTCTCTCTCGCGCTCGCTCTCGCGACCGCTCTCTCTCTCGCGCTCGCTCTCGCGACCGCTCTCCCTCCTTCACCCCAACCGGTCGAGGCAGATGGCCGCCCACCCTGAGCCATGGTTCTGCTCGAGGTTTCTGCCTCTTAAAAGGAAGTTTTTCCTTGCCTCTGTCGCCTAGTACTTGCTCTTGGTGGGAACTGTTGGGCTTCTGTAAATAGCATCATAGAGTATGGTCTAGACCTGCTCTTTTATGAAAAGCGCTGTGAGATAACTGTTGTTGTGATTTGGCGCTATATAAATAAAATTGAATTGAATGTTGTAGGATCATCGGTATTCTGTCTTCTTCTCTTCAATCACTGAGAGAAAGCTGTACAAAACTGCAGTTTGTGTGTTTGTGTAGCTTTTTGCTGACTCACCCACTGAGGTTGGCATCTCCCCCCACTGCAGCACAACGTCCTTAGTGATGCGTCCATAGGTGTTAACATAAACACCCTCATCCTCATAACACACTAGCAGCTCAATGCCGTCAGTGTTGGGCAGGATGATGATGGCGTGAGACTGGATACTGGTCTGGATCTGTAGGGACACACAAAATCAATATGGAGTTTGCTGATCACTTTCTTCAAAACAATTTTATCTCGTGTGATCAGACTTATTTATCATCAACTAATATTGACAATCTGAAGAAATTATTTAGCTGCACTTTTTGGCATCTACAAGTGCAAGTGCAGTAGCTGAACAATTGTGTAAGACAGACAACTGAAAAGACATATTTTCAAATAACTTAAATAAATATGTGAATATATATAAATGTATGATTAATAACCAGAAACAAACAGTCAAAACAAACTGAAAACCCCCGTAAAGAAACTCAAGTATCCTTTATTACACCATTTAACATGCATCTAAGATACTATGTATGTGTTCTTACGTGTGTAGGCAGGTAGATGTCGTAGACAGCCCCGGAGTCAACATCCACGGCATGAAAGCCTGAACATGAGCCATAGATGACCTTTAACCTCTGACCTTCCTCCACAGTCAGGTCGACCAGCAGGGGCTTGTGCACCAGGTCACCAAAAGACTGAAGCACACAGGTCAGAAAATATATTTTTTTCTCCTCTTGTTCACTCAGCATGCAGAAGTAAATATTTGCCAGGGCAAAGATCATAAATATTGATAGCAAACTGTTTTCAATGAATCTGTAGTAAATACAACTCTAAGAATTTAGTCTTTGACCGGTTTTAAACCTTGGTATCAATTCTGGGTAATACCTCAGCATAGTACATGCAATACTTTGTAAATACAGCACAGACACCCTCAAGACCCAATTCACTAAACCAACTTTAAAAGTGTCATACTGTACACGTATTTGTCGTCATTAACAACAATGGATAAATCCACACATGCATCAGCTAACAAGCTAAGCTAGTTTATTGACTCACCTTGAAGGCCATGAACTTGTGGTAGGGCTTGGGTGCCCAGGCGTAGACTTCCACTGAGTTCTTTAGAGCCAGAACCAAGAATTTGATCCTCTCATATTTCACTGGGGAACAAAGATCATAACAAAACATTAGGCTGTTGACTCTTCCAGCCACTGTGGTAAGATTATCCACCATCCTTTTAAACTTCTCTTTGTAAACACGGTAAATATGAGAGGAATTAAAGGGAAAGATAGGAGGAGATAGGAAGGTTAAATTAATACCCATTTAGAATAATCTAAAAAAGTCTTGTAATTTCCAAGCGCAAAGTCTCTACCAGCTGTGTTACTAAAAATGTAAATCTGACGAGCAATCCATGGACACACAAATCTGTGACAGGAAATGGATTTCATGACTGACAACTCTGATCAATGCAGAAGGAAATAGGAAGTGCTCATTGGAACTACCAACACCAAGGACATTCTGAATTTTAGACAGGACAGTGCAGTTACTTGTCTACTCGGTCGGATGTCCTTACCGCATTATTACTTCATCAAGGGCTTTCCTTCCATCATTTTTTACTGCACGCTTGTCTCATACACACATACATTCACTGTATCTTTAAACTGAGTTAGCGATGTTTTCAAGTCCCCCATTTGAATCCACATCATTTCATTTCTGATGGGGAAACACGCGTTCATAACAAAGTACAGATGTTAACTGACCAGACACCGTTTTTCCCCCCAGTTTAAAAGCTACAATTATTAACAAACAAAATCAGTCAGATGAATTATTGAAGAATGTTAATATTTATACACGTCTACGATCCCACCACAATAATGGGCAGAAAATAAAGTTTCAACCATATTCTTATCTTCACATTAACATTTACCAATTTTTACTCAAACATAAATGTATTGAACAATACATTTAATCTTAACCCTCTCAAGGCTTATAGCTTAACAGGACCACTCTTGTTTGTTGTACATTTTTCCCATCAGAGACAGACAGGAAAAAACAGAAGAAAGAAAGGGGAAATGACATGCAGAATAGGTTCCCAGCCAGAATTGAACCAGGAGGTTGACATTGTATGGTATGCATCTTAGATCACTTGGCCACATGGAAGCCCAAGAATAGCCATTCTTTAATTCTTTATCTCAGGCCTTTTGCGGTATTTATTCCCATAAATGTGGTGAAATCCATAATATTACTGTTTAGAAACAGGCTGTGAGAATGTGACCTACCAACTTTATAGTGGACACAGCCCTCCAGGTCCCCTACGGTGGTCCAACCTTGTTTCTTCTCCACCTCGGGGTCATTGTGCAGGATCTTGTTCCTCAGCCAGGACAGGTAGTATACACGGAGCTTGTTCTTCTTACCTGTTGTTGATCAAGAAAGTTCAAATTGGGTCAAATCTATTTTCTACGCCAACATTTTAAGAATGTCTGAAGAGGCAATTATTAAGTTTTTTTATTCTCTAAAATTCACAAGTAAAGATCTTCCCCTTATTAACACTTCCATTTCATAGCCTAATCTGGATATTATCAGCCTGTGCAAACCCTGATGAAGGCTGCAAGCCGAAACTCGTTGGTCTGACAATAAAGTTGTTCTTTGTGTCGCAGGAGTTTTGACCTCTTCAGACTATGACCAGTTCAGGTGTACCCTGAAAGCAACTTTTATTGTCCTTATTGGCTGCTGAGTTCTTACTGAGATTTCATTCTAGCATGCAATTATTCTAATTTTTTATTTGACATACATCTGAATGACTGCATTCTCATTGTTACTGCTATTATTATCAGTCTGGAACTAATACATTTTATATCATATAAGACTTTGTTGTGATTTCTCTCCTCCATCCTGTATGTCTGCAGTGTTTTTGCAACATTTCTGGAATTGGGCCAAAAGTCAAGTTGGGACAAAACAACCTACAAAGGAACAGTGTGTGCAAATATATGCAGACAGAAAAAAGGCCAGCAGTTCCTCTTTTCACTATGTGCATCGTTCCAAATTTTAGTTTTAATGTATGATACAGAAATAAAGCAATACTTTTCGGTCACAAGTACAGTCAGTACATTCACACCAGTCCATTCATATCATGCCACATTATGAAGGCTGAAGACTTTAGTTTCTACCTCCTAACTGTTTCATTAAGTAGACCAATACACATATTGTACAACTGACAAATGGTTTTGTGTTGGAGTAAGTGGTTGCTATTTTTAAAAGCTGTTGGTGATTAATTTGTAAAAGGTACTTGCTGGTGAATACTGGTCCAAGTCAAGCACTCAATTTCATCTGAAAGTTTAATCTTAAGTGCTCAGTTATCCTGTCTGTGAATGTGTGTTACTAAACCCAAAAAGGCAACTGGAAGACACCATCTTACAAAAGGTAACAATTGACATCTTGGTTACCTGCTTCTGCTCAAACATTTGTAGAAATGTTCTACATGGCTCTTCAGTCCCAAATCACATACACACTGACAATGAAACACACACTGAACTATTGCTACTATAAGGAGTGTCTTTTTACAACAAAGTGCACAGTTTAGTTTCTACCTCTTAACTCAATTAACTAACTTAAACAAGTCTGTGACAGTTTAGTTTCTACCTCCTAACATATGCCACAGCATTCAAGGCATTTTTTGCAGCCGTTTCTCACAGGCCTCCCCTGCTGCACTGCGGACCACATAAACTAATGTCACAAGAAGTCATGGATGTGGATGCACTTGACACTGATGGCCATTCGTTTAGTGTGTGAGGCTTTTGTTTCTTGTCGTCTCCTAGTAATCTGATCATAAACATGAGATGCGAGGAAGCGGCCTGCATGGCCATCCAGATTTTGTGCCAGCCTCTCAAACACTGGGGTGATAGAATTTTCCATTACGCATATTTTTAAATGAAAGCCACACAAACATTTCATGGAAGGAAATCAACGTGTATTGTGACGTCCTTCCATCATGGAAAGCTCAAGTGTGTGTCAGCATTACATATTGAACACACATGGCGTGCTCTCACAAAGCTGAGATTTACACAACATCCGTTTGGCTCAAAATATCTGTTGTGACACTTATGACTGCACTGTCTGTGTGTGCAAAATTCAGAAAGAGAAGTACGAACCTGGATACACTTTCAATCTGAGAAATCTTGGAATTGTGGAACCGTGTGTCCGTGTGTATAAAAATGTTTATGCAACAATAGACAGACACAATTTGTCTGGAATATGTCAGACGTAGCAGGTTTAAGTGTGTATTTGCAGGTGCGTGTGGGCAGCAATGACAAGAAGTAAACCAAGCAAAACACTCACAAACACATACACAAATACTTTGGCTATTTGAGTTGACAGCAGAATAAACAAAAGTGAAACAGTTCGTTAGTCTCATAATCAACTTAGAGGACATTATTTATATTTGATGCGCATGTTTGTGCACTCATGATGCTCTCTGTGTGGATTTTCATTATTGTAATGGGGTTTGTGTGTACAAGAATGTTTCAGTCCTTCTCACTGATCAAGTATTCATCTCAGTGGGAGTAATTTGGCTGCATAAATTGTAATAAAACTACCTTTAAAATGTGTGTGCATGCTCTTGTGCCCTAGCTGAGTGCCTGTGTGTTTGTGTATGTACCTGATATAGTGACAAGGACATTGAGTCCCTCCAGGACGTCCATCTGCTGGAAGCGCCGTCTGTTGATCAGAGGGTAAACTTTCCCCTGACCACTGCGATCCAACAGCATTAGACCGCTCTCTGTTCCCACTAACAGGTTCACTCCTACACACACGCACGCACACGCACGCACGCACACACACACACACACAGAGTCAGGAGAAGACCAACAACACTGACCAAATAAGTTATGCAGTCTGGTCAGACAGATAACTTTACTTTGGCTTTGCTGCCACCAGGTGTTTTGTTTTCGAAAACCAGACAAGCTTTCTGAATATATAATTGTACATTATGTACACAGTACATAAGGAATGTTGCAGCATTAAATAAATAATCACTTGGATGGTGATATGAAAGCAAAGAGGGTGATTTCTGTTGCTGATGTGTGTCTGACTGCATTATAATATCGCCAATGTCAAATTAACGGTTTGGTTAAGTAAGTCTTAAACCAATAAGACAGGTGACCTATATTTACTTTTAAATGTTATTGCTATTGTGTTTCTCATTACCCCACTTATTCTATCTCCGCTTGTCTTCCACACACTTACAATTCTGAACCAAAGCAACTGACAGTAATCTTATTTTTTGTAAGTTTGTCTTCTTACCCCAGAGTGCAGCACACAGGATTTCAGAGTTGAACCTCTTTTTGTATTTGCGGATCTCTGGCGTGTCGCTCTGCGGGCGAGTGTTGACCGGGTTAACATTCACCACAGAGCCCTTCCGAGATGGGTCGGCCCTCAGCGCCTCTGCCAGCCGAGCGTCATTCGCATAGCCTAAAATGTCAAAGGGAAGGGCTTAGGTAGGACGGTGTAGGATGTAGAATTTACCAGGCAGGGTGGGGGTCAGTCAAATGGTCAGCATTAGAAGGATGGCTGGATCTCCTGTGTTTGCTTTTATTAATCATGAGAACAGGATTGATTGTCATAAAATAGTCAGAAATTTAAGGCTGGGAAAGTTTATTTAAAACGTATGGAGTATGGAAAACAAACATAATTTGACCATAATCTGAGGAAATGATTCCAGCAGCTGATCTACTCAAATCTAAAAAAGGGGGGGGTGTAGTTTAAAGACAGTTGTCCATCCAACCATTCCTTCATGTTTGAGCAGTGGTTGTAGGCCATTTAGTTCATGGCAACAGAACAAAAGATACAAAAGTTTTTCATTTGTTATACAAATTGGGAGAAATAACAAGCTATCAAACCTCAGAATTCCTCTGCAGCCACGGTATCTGTGCCTCTCTGAAATTGCTATCCGAACTTAAGATCAAAACTGATCAAATCAGTGATTAAATGCAGAAAAATACTGAAGGGGTCAATGACTGGTCACCAGCTGCATCAGGTGAGGTAATGGATCAGCATACCAGAGTCCTTAAGACTGGAAAGATCTGGCCTTGATGATGGCCAATCCTCTGAGGGATGATGGGAACAGGAGGACTGCCTTGATAAGAGAGCTTTGTTTATAAATTGTGGCAGCTAATGAGCTCTGCAACCTCTGTGAGGCGGAGTCTGTGCTAACAAACTGCATTTTGTTTGGTTTTGAACTTTTCTCTGAAAGTTTTCACACACTCAGGATCTTTACCCCTGTTCCCTCCAGAGGAACCTGTTTCTGAGTTTTGTTCATTGGCCATAGCTGCATATTATGTGATTAAAAAACTGAATAGAAAACGGTAGGTAAAGAAAGTAAATGTCAACCCCAACTGTCACAGTTAGGGTTGACACAGTGTGTCATTTCTGCTGCTAGGGGTATCTCACATAAAACAATAAGAAAAGACTAGTTTTATGACATAGTGAAGTAGTGTGGGATCATGGGAGTTGTCGTATTCATTGTTAAACAACCACCATTGCCGATGAAAATCTATCTGATGTGACTTAGGCAGGAAACAAGCTTCTGATCTCACTCCGATGTATCCCATGATTCCTGGAAGTTCTAGCATCTAGAAAGGTAAAGGGGATATGACCCCATTGACAGGTGACCAAATGAAATGCACCTTTACCTTAAATAAAATAATGGATTTCGCTGGGTTTGAATGTTGTTGGAAACATTTGGATACATCTGGTTACACATTAACAAAATATATAACATACATTTGCGGGGAATTGGGGTACGGGACTTACCAACATTGTTAAGGGCGCTGCCGGTAGATGGAGATACTTGGAGGAGGCGTGGGTCGATGAATGGAGTGAAGGAGGAAGAAGACTTGTGTTTCTGCATGTTGTTACTAGACTGGCTCTACAGTGAGATACAGTAAGACTTAGTGGTGACAGAATAACACGACTCTGAATGTGTTTTTGAAAGATCAAAAAGATTTTTGCACCATTAGATGTCTACAGATAACGGTTAATGTAAACAATTAACAAGACAATGCAGTCAAACAAGCAGGCAAACTGAGGTATTTCTATATGTGTTGCATGCAAATACAATGGGCATTCAATTGAAGGGTAAAATTATAAATACTGAGGAAAAAGGCAAATACAATGGTGGAGGGTAAAACATATGGAGTGCTGTTGACAAAAAGAACAAAAGGGGAAACAAAAATGCAGTTTGAAAAAATTCCCATGGGAAATATACTTGCCATTGTGCTCCTAACTGCTCTGTTCGCTATGATCTATTGTCTGGGAAATGTGAAAATATGACTCGTTTGCTGAAATTATTGCAACATCAAGGAATGAAATCAGATTTAGATGTTTGTAAAACTACAACGAGCCTCAGAGGAGACTTGAGCAAAAATCTAGAGCAAGCTCTAAACCACAGCTAACTGGTCTGTTGTGATCATAAAAACAAAAGTCTCTGTGGAGCGATGGAACTAGAGCTGTAAATTGTTCCCCAAAAGTAAATTGTATTTTATTTTTAACCAAAGTACAAAAAAAATGTACAGTAAACTCAACAGGATGTTCCCAGGGTAAAAAATTGTAACTCTGCTTTGTCTTCCAGTACTTTCAAATGATCCCTAAAATGCAGCCTGCCATCAATACCACCATCAAGAAAGGTTGAGGGGCCATGTGGAGCTAGACAAGGATCACCAGTGCCAGTGGTGACCTGCAGAGGGTGCTCTACTCAACCCAGAACATAAAAATAGTTGTCAGAGAAGACATTATCATCATGGCCGGTCAGATGGGTCTAAACAACTGCAGTTTGAGTAGAATTTTTAAATACACTGGACAAAATTATAAACGCAACACTTTTGTTTTTGCCCCCATTCATCATGAGCTGAACTCAAGGATCTAAGACTTTCTCTATGTACACAAAAGGCCTATTTCTCTCAAATATTGTTCACAAATCTGTCAATCTGTGTGAGTGAGCACTTTTCAATGCCACAATAAAAGGACACAAAAACAAAAGTGTTGTGTTTATAATTTTGTTCAGTGTAATTAAAATGAGTCTATTGGTTTTTGGGAAGGTTTTTTTTGCTGCTGCTGTATGGGAAACTGTGAACTCACACATTCATATGCAGCCAACTTTCCAGATTACACGAGAAATATTACCACTAAGCGTGTGTCCATGTTGGGCCTGGGGGACATACCTCTGTGAGGATGCTGAGCTTGTCCAGGGGACTCTGGGGGGACATAGAGGAGGGGCTGGCAAGGCTGGAGGAGGAAGGGGAGTTGGATGTGGAGGAGGAGGGGGAGGAATGGTGGCTCTGCTGGATCAGGTCTGGGAGGTGGTGGATGCAGCCAGTAAAGCCGTTCCTGTCCGAGTGCTGTGTGGGGTGATGGTGGTGGTGATGATGATGGGGGCTGGGGGTGTGGGGGCCAAGACCCGGGCCCGACACCGAGCCGGGGCTAGGGGCGAAGCCTGCAAGCAGGCCGGGGGTTTGGGCTTGGCCCGGGCCAGGGCTCGGACGCTTTCTGTTGTCACCTGCACTCTGGAAGTAGAAAGAGGGGTAGACAACTTTGGGTCTAGATGTGTTCCTTATGAGTTCAGGGGAAGGGAAGGTGTTAGCTAGAGCAAAGGGCAAACTACAGTGGCTATTCTATAGGCAGAAAGAAAACTCTTATTAGCAGCCAATTTTAAGGTAAAACAATATGGTAAGTCATTTTGTGGTACTAGAAAAATGTCCCTTTGTGGTGGTGACTGCTAATCTATCAATTAATTAAATAACTGGATAATCTAAATGTCCTAAATGGACTGAAAATGTAACTGAATAAGCTAGTGGTCGTTGCTGCTGTCATGTGGTTGACTATCATTACTATTATTTTACATCTCTATGTGGAACTTGCATTGTGATACTTTGTGTTCTCTTTCCTTCTGCTCTCTCTCAACCCAACCGGTCGAGGCAGTTGGCCACCCACCCTGAATTATTTTTAAGAATTTTCAAACTGTGTAAATGGGAATAAATTGAAATTTAATTGAATGTATGTATAATTATAATCTATGAGTTTTTATAACCAACCAAAGCTACGCTTCGTCACTTTGTAACACTGAGCTTCTCTCCACCGCCCACAAAATATAGAAGAACAGAACGCGATCAACAAAACATACAAACAAAATGGAAAAACACTTGGGTATGAATGAACAAAAACAGAACAAAACAACTGGAAGTGTGTGGTAAATGTTTTTTTGTCTTGTTTTTTTGTTTGCGTTTCTTTTCAGCCAGTACCTGTCTGACAATCAGCGTGCTGTCTTTGCAGGGCGTTGAGCCTGCATCGCTCTCGCCTTCATCATGAACAATCATGGTTTTCACTGACTCTGTCTCTCCATTACTCAGCCTGGAGGATCTGAAGGAGAGAAGAAGAGCTAGTCAACACATAAACTTTGTGTTTTGGCTGCAATTTACAAAATAATTACATAATGTTCCACACTGATAGAACATCAGATAAAAGACACTATAAGTCTCTATATTCTCTGTTTCAAGGTTTCATGTAAACCAACATGCAGCTCCGTTTAAGAGGAATCTTACCTTATCCATTACCCTGAACTGATGCACAGCTGGTCCATGTTGCAGTGTTAATACAAAGTGTGTAAAATGTGGTACATACACAGCTTTGGAGTCCTCTGGGCCAGAGGTTGACTCTTCGCCTGCCTCCTGGTCCACCTCTTCATCATCATCTTCATCAGTGGTGTCTGAGTCATCACTGGAGGATGAATAATCAGTCACCTTATTTGGGGGGCGAACATCATCCACTGCACGCAGCTCCTTGGCCAGAGCCGTCAGGTCCTAAAGGTCGGGGTGAGAAGTTAAATCTCAGTCAAAGGTAATTTCATCTCATTGATTTTCAATTCTTCTCCATCTGTTGGAATTTTGACCATTCTTCATTTGAGCATTTTATATATATATGAGTCATTCAGATTTTCAGTCAGTCTTCTTTTGAAAAAACTAAAGCAGGAAACTGAAAGCTGCTGGAGAGGAAGAGCGGTTATAGAGGTACCCCAGCCAATGAGAAGCCAACGTGAGAGCAGCAACGCCAAAAGATGAAGCGAGGAAAGAGATGACTGTCGTACAGCTGATGCTCTTTGAGATGCTGTAGGTAAGGTTAGTGGATTAATTCTAATAATGAGACAGTTATTAGAGCTGCAAAGATGAAAAATAGTATGTAAGGAAAAGTAAATTCTGTATTGGGGTTAGAAAAGACATGAGTTAAGGTGGTCACCTGCCAGGCAGAAAGACCAGTGGAGAGAAAGCAAGCAATAAAGGCAGAAAACCTTCAGCCAGTGAGCTCAGACTAAAGACAAAAGAACCACTTCACAAAGTCTGAGCCTGTCGCACTATTGTATGGTGAGCAGATCACATGACACAATCCAAAGCCAGTTTGTGATCATTCCCACGTGCCAAATCATCACACACACTCCAGCTTTCAAACAAACCCAAAGCGGCATATCATCATGTAGTTATGACTACACACACACACACACACACAGAGATCTAGATCTATGCCAGCTAGTGAGCTACGGTACTGGCTAGTCAGCTTTGAGTCGACTCTCACCGCTGGTCTGCTAGGCCTGACCACGTCCCTCCTGTCCTCTGGTTTTTTCCCAGCATTCTCTGGACGTTGGAGGGGTGTGCCCTCCGATTTGGAAGAGGCTGAAGGAGGTGGAGGTAAAATGGTCAGTTTATTCTAAAAAGTGAAAAAACTGCCAGATCCAAATGTGTGTGTGTGTTTACAGCAGACTGTTAATGTGTAACTCCTTTATAAAAGTATTATTTATTGTATCATAAGTGTTTCAGACATATTGTCCACCTCTTGCATGCTTGTGCTATGTGTATGGACTCACAGCGAGCCCTGAACCTCTCTCCAGAGCCGCAGTGAGAGCCCGGCTGAGAGCTGGAGTTACTGGAGCTGCTGGAGGAACTGGAGCCTCCGCTGCCACTGTTACTGGTTGGTCTGGGAACCAGTTTCTCCACTCGTTCCCACAGCAGACGAGGCTCTGCTACACTGTAGAGCCAACAGACACAGACATCAGAGAAATAGCCTTTGTAGAGACAGCAATTTTTAATCTGACACAGAAACTGATAATTTAGATTCAAGATGCCAGTAGCTAATATTTTGTTCAATATCTCTATTCCAGACAAATGTGTCTAAATTCCACCACCTTATTTGTTTTGAGAAAAACAAATAAAGTAAAAAAATGCCTTTACAATCTCATAAAGACATGCTGTGTCTTAGTTTGCAGACTTCCGTACTTACGGCATAATTGTCAGTGTGAATGCACTTGTGCACTCAAAATAACAAGTGCATCAGTACCCGGATGGTGTAGCCTACTCATAATGGACAAAACATTGAGTGTGAAAGTGCTGGACATTTCTCACCCTCAATCGTCGCAATCTTGCAAGTAATGCATGGGGTTTTTCCCCACAAATGGAAGTATTCGAATTGAGACACAGACACAGAGACATACGGGGTCTACAAAGCAACTCTAAAACAGTGGGAAAGAGACTTTAAATGTAGAATGTGGTTTAGTGTTTAACTTATATACTTGTAGACTTAATTATTGCTCACAAATGGTCATTAGATTACATTTAAAGTTGAAAACAAATATGCTAAATAAGTAATAGCACAGTAAGAACAGAGTTTATGTTGTTCTAGAAATAGAAAAAAAAATCCAGCACTGCGGGGTTAGAGGAAGGGGGAGAGATGATACAGAGAATATCATGAGAAGGCTTGTGGTTTGGAAATGGAAAACTGTGCATGTGCGTGTGACCACACAAGTAAAGAAGTATCACAAGGTTAGACAGCTAGCACTATTACATAAACCCTCCCACACAACTCTAGAGACAGCACAGACAGTGAGGACACTGAACGTACAGAAACAATCGTGTGTGTTCGATCCTTCTCCAAACATTATTTTTCATGTCTTTTTAATTACATAGATGAAAACAGCAGCCTGGTTTCACACAGTTTCACAGCACTCAGACTCCTTTACTGAAGGCTGCAAATAACTTTCTTTTACAAACTGACATTGTGGAGTTAGACTGATTCAGCACCCATAAAATGTTCTTGGTCAACATCCAGTTGCTATATTAATATATTCTGTTCTAAAAATACAACCAGCGGAGTCCCACAGGGCACTATCCGTGGCCCAGTTCTACACCAATAAATATTTTTCCCATCTGCAATTTGTTGCTAATTTGACGTGAGACTAAATTACAACTATTAATTAATATACATATTTAATAAGCTATTGCAAAAACACTGATTTGTATTGAATTGTATCTCCTACAATTACCAAGATCACAGAATTGCACAAATCAGAGGGGTTACGTCAGTTTACCTGGCAGTGTTGCGGTGCACAGCATGGCTGCCGTGTGTGGCATTGCCGTGGTGATGAGGCGAGTCCCGCCTTGGCAACACTGGGGACCTTGATGTAGTCCTGACAGGAACCTTTTGTGATAGAGACAGTGACCAGCTCACACATGCACAGTCTGCTGTGCATGAATGTGCTTGATAGTGCAGCAAATACATACAACAAGAAAAACATACTGCAACTGATCAGAAAACCCTCTGCAGTACAATTGTACAATTACAGCAAACCTGGTTTGCACCATACTGCTCCATCAGAAAAAAGTAGTGGCTAACTCTTTGTGCTAATTCAGCAAACAATCCATACTGAACAGAGGACCATTAACTTATTAAATTCAATGAACTTAAAATGAGAAAAAATGAGTTCACCAGAGAGATAGTTAACAAACCAGATGAAAGTGAACAGTCTGATAGTCCTCTTCTAACTACACCCCACACCACCACTGGAGCAGAACTATCACACCAGTAGTCACGGGTCACACACATAGTCAATACCTTTTCCCTTTGCGGAGTAAATTCTGTGAAACCAATGCAGAATATTTGGTAGCATCCAAAGCTCAACAACGTACCACAGCAGTACAGAACAAAAATCCCAGACAAAGCAGCCAATGTACTTTAGAATTTACACAAACAGCCATTATTTTTGCTTTGTTTAGAAGTTAAAGTTAGGGACAAAATGGAAAAGATATGGGCTGATGTTAATGAAAGGTCAGTCTGTCCTTGGTAACATGCTTTTCTTGTGACCTATACTATTGTTTACCTGATGTCTGTGGAGATGTTTATGTTGTATTAAAACTCATGTACTATACAGTAGTGGAGGTTCGTTTTGGCAGCAGCTCTGTTTAGAACAGAATTTCTTTTTCTGGTGGGCTCTGTGGACTGAATTTAGATCTTTCTGACTTTTTTTGGATTCAGACCACATAGCTTTGCGGTTTTTCCTATTCTTAGCCATAGTGTCTTGATACATTCAGGTGGGAAAAACTGTTTTCTAAATGTAGAACTCTCTTCTCCTAGACCTTGCTTATTTCTCTCCTTCTACAGTCAGTGTAACAGTACCCATTGCTGGACTATAAAGAGGTCACATACTGATTGTTATGATTCATATTAACGGCAAGTTACCTGTCTTCATGTCAACACTGATTCACGTCACAGAGTGACATAAACTTCCACTTTCTCATGATATTCTTGTATCAGGGGAAATACATTAATAAATACATAGTACAATATCTGATTTCATCAGGAAACATAAGGTAGACCCTGAATCTTGGTTTTGTGGAGAGAAGTGACCTAAAGCTGCCCACCAACCTTAAAAAATGTTAATTTAATGGGGATTTAATTAAATCATCTGTAATTCCCCACAAGCTCTTTTCTGTACCCAAAGAAAAGAAAATCCAAAAAAGAATTCATTATTGACAGCATAAAGCTATTGAAGTAATGCACTGAACAGTTCAGGATTAAGACAGTTTGACCTCTTGGGAGGACAATTGTCCCTTTTGCTCAGTTAACAGAAAATTATGAAAAGTTCCTAACTACTGCTGCCAGACTATACCGGGGGTCTTTCTTCCTGTCCTTACCCTGGGCGGGACATCCTCTGAAGGGGCTGGTTCATGGGGCAAGGGCCTAGGCTGGGAGTGGGGTTGTGGGTCAGTGCGTGCAGGCGTTGTCGATGAGGAGGATGGTGATGAAGATGGAGGGTGATGGTGGTGTTGGGGTTCCTGGCTGTTGCGAAGGTGAAGATTTACAAAACTAGGGGCAGGTGGCTCGCTGAAGGAGTGTGACCGCGACACAACGGGCGGGGTGGTAACACAGGAGTTTGATGTGGCCACGCTACCGCTGCTCTTTAAAGCGGCCAGATGGGAACGGACCTTACAGACAACAAGAACACATTGGTGGAGCACAGGTCAGTCTGCATGCAGTGCACTCGAACAAGGACAGGCGTTTCAGGGTATCTTTAGGGATTTGTCAGATTGGAGCCATACAGGAGCCTAAAACTGGTGCTTGAGAAACCCCTCTGTAAGAGCTTCAGGAACATTAGCATGAAGCTTTAACATTAGTCCTTTTCAGACATGGAATAGGTCATCTGTTAATATGAAGGCTTTTGTTGATTCTTCAAAATTAGGTCTTTGTTATGGCTTCATTTCACTGTTCTGGAAACAGCCACAATGCTTGTGTTGGAATTTATTTTCATATTGAAGCCTTAATTAAAGACCACTACTCTCACTAGTGAATTCACTAATAATATTTATTTTTGTTAGAGAGCATATTATGTTGCCTTCTTTATAATGTCCAAGTGTGCACAATCATAGAATGACAAGACATTACACTGTGCCCCTCATTTAATTCCTATTTGCTGACATGCTGTATCTGAAGTGTTTTGAAGGATATTAAAAAATTTTTTTTTAAATCTGCCCTGCAGGTGGCATGGATGTGGAGATCATAATTAAGTGACCTCTTAAGAAGAAGGAGCAAGACATGTATTTAATCTTGGTATATTTAGCCATGCGCTGCCGCAGCCTTTATGCTAATCTGACAGCATTCAATTCAGACATGTTCCATGTTGAAAGTGATGGAGGATGAAAATGGTACATGTCCGAAGAGTAAGGCTGACGTTTTTTATGTTAAAGTGATTTGGGTGCTTATTGGGTCCTCTGTGCCCAGAGCTCTTCTGATTAATATTCTAGACAACGAGTCAGGTAGCATTTAAAACTATCATAAACCTGGTAGAATATAAGATAATCAGCACTGAACATGAGAACCAAGGTTAAACACTGACACTTTAGATACATGCTGGATCAGCTAAATGATTTAACGTAGTATTTATTTCAAAGCTCAGAAGAGGGACCTATCAGCTACATTAGTGCTTGTTTAGAGGGGAAACCTGAAGACCTTTTTGGCCTTAGTGGCACATAGTTAAAAGGTATGTCTCCAAATCGTAACAGAGCCCCTAAAGAACCCAAGATTTTAGAGTGCAATAGGAGGAGTGAATAACAAAATAAAAGCACATATACATTGTACATATTGTCTCTGAGGCTGCACCTTTGGGGAGTAGAAAGGAGGGCAGCAGGGGACGTACAAGGAGAAAGTGAAGTCTACTGTAAAACCTTTTATTCCCATATTGACTTATTTGGTGGGGACAGGTGCAGCCTGTGCAACAAAATGGATCACATCATACTTTTGATTTCTGAGAGTGGCACAGGGAAAACATTTTTTAAAGACAGTAACAACAACAAAATGCACAAAACAGTGAAGGGAGAGATGAAGCCGAATAAATCCTGAGACAAATGTGGGTCAGAGACTTATTGTTACCTATTTTAACCTTTCCTAATGTATGATCATTGTTAGTTACATTTGTTGGATGTTCCAAGTAATTGATTGCAATATGACAGTGATAAGAATATAGTCTCATCATTTAGGAATAACAGTCTTCACAAATCTTTAATCTTTTCTTAGTTAGGTGAAATATTTAGTTTGAATTAAAAGTTTTAAAGATGTATGAGATCAGTATGCGTCCTTTAAATTTTGTATCCCATCCATTTATTAATTTAGCTGACACTTTTATTCAAAGCGACTTACAATTGCTATGCAACTCAGAGGTTGCACGCCTCTGGAGCAACTAGGGGTTAAGTGTCTTGCTCAGGAACACAATGGTGGATGTCTCACAGTGGGAATTGAACCCAGGTATCCCACACCAAAGGCAAGCATCTTATCTATGTGCCACCACCACCCATCCAGTTTTACTGACATCAACTCTAAGTGAGACTGGACATTACCATTCCATTAATGTATGAGATACTTTTAGGCCTCAGGAGGATTCAGCCCCACCATCAGTACCAAGCATGAAGATGATTTGTATTAGCAAGGCATGAACACAAGCTGGCATGCAAACATAGATGTAGGCAGAACCACATACAGGTCAGACAGCATGCACACGTTCATGGACTGGGACAAGAAAGCTTGTGACTTTGACACTGGATTCTGCGGTCCACATGTTGTCAGGGTTTCTTTCACACTAACCACTTAAACAACTTATTTTGTCATTAAGGTATGAAATGAAAAAAACCCAAAACATTTAAATGCTAGTGAAAAGTTTAATTTACGGGCTAGTCCAGCACCATGAGATCAGGTTTCACATCCAGTTTCAGTTTTGAAGACATCATGACTGCAGCTTCTTGCCACTTGGAAATTAGTTCAAAGTATCGTTCTCCTTTTCATTTAATTAGCTCCAACCCAAGTTTGATTCCGTCCACAGTTAAGTACGCAAATGTAACAATGTTAAAACGCAACGCTACAACTGAGCCTGATGAATCGGAGCTAATGAGAGAAAACTGATTGATCCACTTTTTACATTATGGCAAATGCTTAATAACGCCCCAGTGAATTACATCATCACCACCAAGTTACAGCATCGTTTTTGTACAATTTAATCTGTGCGACATATTCAAAGCAGATTGACTTGTGAATCAATGAACTGTGATTATTCATGCTTAGTGGGTTGAGTCTTTCTCTGGGAAGATGACTAATGTCTGAGTCACCCAGCTGCAAATCTGGGTGCCCATGAATTATGGATGTTTTTAATCACCAGCACACAATGAGTAGGTACAGTATGTGGAGCAGAGATGTACAAACCCCCAACATACCACCAAACAATCATTGTCATGTTGATACACACACACACGCACACAGACACACACACACACACACACACGGGGGGGAAAAGTGACTTTGAAATAATTATACATTTTGTGAAAGTACTTTTGTTTGCTTTGACGATTGGGTGGACAACCTGCCAATCAAAGAGTTATCATGGGCGATGAGTATATAATCAGGGTTGTGATCATTTCATTTTCATTACCACGAAAAGTTGAGTAAAGGGAGACATTTTTTAGACGAAGTACAAGAAGTCATAACAAGGTCTTCTGTCTGAAAATGAACAATCTGCCATTAGCTTGGACATTCAACGTACTTTCACAATTTACGCATTAAAATGAGTTGAAATTGAATTGATGACAACCCTGAAGTTGAAAAGAGCATAGAGTTCAACAACCGCAGACAGTTGAATCCATTATCCAGATGAAACAACCTGCAAAAGTTGAGCTAAAGCTACAAGGAGGGAAAGCAGCACAACCATTGAACACATCTCACGTATTTAAAATAAAAATACTAATAATCATTTCACACTGAAAGAGCAAGAGCACAGACTCATAAATCACCTGAAAGAGAGAAACTTAATGAGAGTATGATAAGAAAAAGGTATTAAAGGCAAATACACCAGCAACACCTAGAGTCAGTGGAGATGGGAAGTACTGCCAGATGAAGGCGAAGCTACAAGCAAGACTGATTTTCTATTTTCCCAATAAACTGGCATTTTGGAGATACATGGTTTTCATTTCACTTGATACCATGCAGTGAATGCTGCAAAGTGAATGATAGCACCATAAATCCATTCGGTGTTAGGCTAGTCCTGGCGGGAAATGAGCCTCCACACTCTGGCAGTGTATTGTAAGGCTGACAGCATCCTCTAAACAAAATCAAATTTGGCCCCGTCACACAGGAAATATGGCATGTTTACAATCCCAAAGGTTTGAATGATAATTAAGTAGACTGCCACAGTGTGTGCAGCCTGGCCAGCCAAACTTGAGTTTCAAGAGAGGTTTACTTGTTTGTCTCGCTCTGATAATTGCAGTTGCTACTCAAATCAGGTGGCGAGTCATCAAGAAAGAAAAATAACTATAATAAAGTACCAAATATACATATGATATTGTTTTGTAACTTTCATCATATAAAACTGCTATCTCTAACTCAAACCTGTTCAGATCTGATGATGAAACAATCAGCACTTGTAGCATGCACCTCTACACTAACTATTACTCTACAAGCTCATTTATGTCTGCATCGTCTCTTAACAGTCCCCTCTTGCGATATTATAAAAATTGATGTTAACAAAATAAATAAACCACAGAAAAATGTCCTAGTCTAGACCGATCTAGATCAGTAGGTCTTTATTCTCAGCAATTACAGTGCGTCAGCATTTTCTGTAGCTGCTTCACAATACAACCTGCCAGTGGAAAGCTTTTAATTTAAAAGCACAACATGTCTTACGTTTGAAATAAAAACACAAGAGTCACTGCAGTTCCAATAGTATGGAAAGGACAGTTATGAAAACGGTGAGTAGTCATGTCCCGATCTATTCTCTGTTGTGGACATGACAGAACTGGATTCGAATGGAGCATGCTGGTTTTTAAGTTGAGAACATGATAAATCATATTAACGTTACTGCCAGCTTTAGTGCCTCGATCTTCCCATTACGCTATAACGCAAATCCTGCAAGAGAAAAGGCACTAGCGGATTCTAACTAGTGGCGAACCACCCACCTGACACCAGCTCAAAAATGCTGCCTGTGTACAACAGCTGTGAAAGTGAAGAAGAAGGAAATATTTGAGAGAAGGGGGAGGGTTTTTGAAGACATGGTTACCTGTGGTTCCACAGGCCGGTGCATGGCGGGTGCCTCAGATGCCGAGTTCCCATTGGGGTAGGAAGACTCGGAGCGTGGTGGCACTGGAGGCTGCTGTGCTTTGGTCTGAGCTGACTGAGGAGAACCCTGGATGTTCTTCCGATATCGCTCATCAGCCTAAGGAGGACACACAAAGACAAATAAATGACACACAGACAGCAGCTATAGCAATAGAGGAGGAAAGGAAGTTGTTGTAAGTTGACAGAAGCCACTAGGCGCTACGATTTGTTAGTTTCCCCCTGCAGAGCAGAGACGGTTTGTACTAGCAGTGGTACAAGCACATCAGAAAGTCATCTGCTGATACAGGCAGCACCAGCAGGAACAACAAAGCACTTCCTCGAGGGCAGCTGTTTTATTGTTGCCACATAATATTCCCACATCCCTGCTAGTAGGACAACAGCACCACAACCAGCATAGTGTCATGCATTTTTCATGTGGACTGAAAAACATTCATGATGAAAGGTTAGGACACACACTAAGGTCCAGGACATGGATTCAAAGTCAGAACTGTGTTTTTTAGTGTTTTTTAGTCTGAAATGTCAAAAGTTAATTGTAAGCGAGACAGACTTACACAGAACTTTCACTGAGCTACACTTCAAATAAAAATACGTCAGCATCTCGTTTTAAAGCACCTTCAAAAGTCCTCCTACACTATGTCAGCTGAGCTCACTTGTTGGCCAATTCATGACTGGTGAATCTGATATCGATCATAATAACACTGTGATCACCAAGTTCATTACTGAGATTGGGAAACTCTGCAACATCACTACAACAAAGTCAGACAGAACAAGAACCTGAGCAGTCTGACAATAAGCCAACAGTTAGCCAAATGATCCACTTTATTTGGTGGTAAAACTGGAAGTAAGCACACCCAAAAGTCTGTAATAATGTCTCATTACACAGTAAAACTGTGCATGCACACCTATGGTTTTAGTTATAGTTATGGTTGAACGAGGAAGTCAGTCTGTAAACTGTGATGGACAGTTACAACCGACAGTTGGGGTAATAATTTTACTGTTCACTTTTATTTTATTTTCCAAATAACATTGTCTAACATGGAGGTTTGTTCTCAACCGATCTGATTATCTGACTGTGTTTCTTTTCCCATCAGAGTTTTCTTCAAATGTTGCCACAATCTCAGATCTTCGCAGTGAATTTGGTGATGACAGTAGTACAGACATGAACGATGAAAATAAAATCCCACGTAATAAACCAGGATCATCCCTTATATATGTCTAACCTGCTGACTTCTGATGAAACAGCCAACTGAACGTTACAAACAGCTGCTGTTCCCAGTCACTGTTCCCGAGGTTCATGCTCTAACAGGGCTGTGTTTTGCATCACCTGAAAGAGTTTGCCTTTTGAAAAAAATCCAGCTTCCATTTAAATTTCCTGTCAGTTCTTGGGTTGCCCTATGTAGAAAACAGTCCTGCGCAAAAAATACATGCAAACAGCATTCGGAATGGGTGTGTCTCTCTTTCCTTTTCTTCTCTCACCAGGTGCTAAATGGCAGCAGCAGGATGCCAAAAAGAGAGAAACAGGGAGTCCCACTGAGGACTAATGAGGTGGCTCATGATTACAGTAACTTCATTATTATGGTGATAAAGACAACAGTGAGGCTAATTAGAGGAGCAGTAGTGCCCTCACTGAGGAAGAGGAGCTGTTCAGATGAGCATTTCACAGTAAACTCTTTAGGAAGAAGTTAGGAGGTGTTTTATAAAAGAAGCTCGGAAGGGGAGGAGATGGATGGTTTAGTCCAAATTTTTGGCCTATAAGCCAAAAAATGATCAGATCTGTGTGCTGTACCTTTGTGTTCTACTTTCAAAACATTTAAGGAGCTCAGAATAGATTATATAGCTATGACATATATGTATAAATCCATTTACATGTTTTATTAAAACTAAATATCAGTCTTAGAAACCTCCTGTGGCATTGTTTGTATATCAACCTGGGGTCACAGGCATAAGAAGAACTTGTGGAAGGAGTTTATTTGGCAATTTCTAGAGGTAGCAACAACATTATTTTTCTTTAGATTCCTTTAAGAATTGCTTGTTTGCTTTATCTGTTAATGATTTATTAATAGTTCTTGCTTTCCCAGACTTAGAATCAGCAGCCAATAACCAAGAAAGTGTTTGATATTTGTACTTAACTGAAAAAAGATATTAAATCAGTTAACAGACTTAAAAGAGATGTGTTCCAGTCAGAATTCACATTAAGTTGTGACAGGTGTGTTGTGATTTCAATTAACTGAATGTGCTGCTCAGAAACTGAAGGAAGCACAAATGCACAAAAGTTTATACAGTGTAATTTTCCTTGTGTATATTTTGTTCAGCGCATCTTGGGATGAACTGAGCATGTGTGGGGCTTCTTTCTTATTTTGCTGTTTTTAAATGATTAAATTAAATCTACATTCAACTTCATTGTAGTAGAATTTCTGTTAAGGGATCAAGAAGGCTTTTGGCTGTTAGTCCAGCATCATTGAAATATATTTGCATCATGGATCCGTTTAACTACTTGTTATAGGGCCGTTAGTAAATTCTACCTATTTAAAGCTTGTCTACAAAGCGTCCCCACATCCCACACCAGCAGCTAGCCATCCCTATGTACACATTGCACACCCGAAGCAGTGGGAGTGAGTACACACAAGCAAAGAAAGCATTCTACAGCAGTCAGTGTGACGGCAAAGAGCTGCGAGGGTTCACCTCTCTGACTGGCTCAGAGTCAGGGGCGGGGCCTTGAAGGTCAGCAACAGGTATCTTGGGTTCTGTAGTTTTCTCCAGACTGTGATTTTGACTGGACCTTGTCTTTTCAAAGTCAGTGCTCTGTGGTTGTTTTGTTATATCCAGTTCAGGGCTGTGCATGGGCTTTACCCTGTCGTGTTCGAGGTTCTGTTGGGGTTTGGTGCTCTGTTGCTGGGCTGTTTTGCTACTATCCGGGTTCTGGATTTGCTGGAGGGACAGCAGGTAGGCTTGCTCCTGCTGCAGCTGTCTCTGGAGCTTCTGGGCTTGGCGCTGCTCCTCAAGCTCCCGCCATTTATGCTCCTGAGTCAAGAAGGGTCAAGTTGAACCATAACCTCTGACAGAATGACTTTAGCTAAGTTGTACCATCTCCACAACACTGTGATTTTCTTACTTTATTCTTTATGGGCTCATTTAGATGACACCTCAGCAACTTTAATTCCTTTTGGGATCCCCAAACATTTATACTTACTGGCAATTTATAGTCTCGGGTCCACCTGGGAGAACTGCATTAGGGAAGCTACAATTAAACATCTTCTTCTGGTCCACATTGCAGCTTATTTTCCAAACCAAATTTAAACCAAATATCTCTCTAGAGCTTGCTTTTTTAAATGTTATAAGATGTGTAAGGTTTAACAAACCAAAGGAACAGCAAGCTTGGGGGGAAATTGTCTGACTGCATATCTGTTCTCGCATTTAACTAAAAGTAATTAAACCACTATTTAAAACAGTAATATTTTGATTCTTGATACCCATTGCCAAAAGCTACATCTAAAATAGCAAGAGGTAAAATGAGATGTTTTAGGTTTATTCTTGTAAATTTGGACAAAGCAAGTGTTTGAGTACTTTCAATGAGCTCTAACAGTATCCAAGTGTGAAAGCCAATCATGATGTAAAGGAAACTTATTTTTTCATTCTTAAGTGTACAAATGGTGACTGTGCAGTAACCGAGGAGTGCAGCCAGTGATAGAGTGATGGTGTGACGCCTGGAAAGTGGGGATATGAGTGGTCATATCCTTTCATTATTTGAGTATCCTCTGTAACCCCCAGAGGATTTTAACTCTTTAAAATGAAAAACATGAATTCATACTAACCCCTTCAAATAACCCAGCTCCTCTTCTGCACAAGGAACATCTGGAATAAAAACAGGGGAAACCCTCTCTTCCCATAGGATGACTAGTTTCCTGGTAACACAGCACCATCACTAAGGGCCCTGTAAACATCCCAACTTCCCCAGCAAAAACCTGAGAATACTTATTACGGTTTGACCTCAACTGTTAATGGCTCCCCTCGGATCTACAAAAGTCATAAGTTAGTCCCAAAAACTTGATATAGTTTAGATCGGAAGGAAAACTGAATCAGGAAAGTTTGTGTAACGGAAGAATAATAAGTACCTGCATTATGAAATTTAACAACCTGGGAGTTGTGGAAACATCCAAAAAGAAACTGATGTCAAAAACAGGAGGGGTGGTGGAAGAAACTATTTGATGAAAGACAGAAGGAACAAGGGTAGCGGGAAGAAAAGGGGCCTATTCTCAAAACTGTGTTTGTAAAATGTTTTTATGAGTAAAAAATGAACTTGTAATATAAATGTGATCATGGGTTTAGACAGAGCAGCCGAACACTCACCAGCAGCATGGCCTGTTCATGCAGCAGCTGCTGCTGCAAGATCTCCAGGTGCCTCTGCTCCTCCTCCAACTGACGACGGATGTACTCCTGTCAAACAAACATAGCCCCCTATTAGTTCAATGTCAGAAAATAATGTATTTTATCTCCACATACGTCATCTTAATTATGACTATGGTCTATTGGTCTATTGTCTATTGTCCCAAATGTGTGTGCAATTTTGGGGAATGATTGCCATTCATTAAAGCCATTAAATTAGGGCTTCAATAAAATAAAATACACAAAAAATAAATGTTAAGAACTCAGAAAATATACTGAAATGTTGTACTAGCTCTAACAACTAAGGTATGTGGTCACAAAAACACAAATCCCACTAAAAACAACAGACTTTTGATTCACATTCAAAAACATGAACATATAAATAACTTATTTATAATAAATAATATAATAATTAAAGGAAATAAATAAATAATAATAAATAATTAAAAGATCTGTTTCTTCCCCAGTCTTTTCTCTCTCCATTATTCTGGCTCGTACCTGCTCTCGGTCGGCCCTCCTCTTTTCCTCCTCCGCCCTCCTGCGCTCTTCCTCCTCTTTGCGGCGTCGCTCCATTTCCTCAACGCGTCTCTTCTCCTCTTGCTCACGTCGGCGCTGCTCGCGCTCCTGCTGCCTCCTCATCTCGCGCTCACGGCGTTGTTGCTACAGGTGGAAGCAGGAGGCGAGATAACACAGAAACCTGTTTATGTCCCAGCTGTAAGTGTCCTAGTTAAGGCTTTTTGTCTAGTCATATCTGACACAGCTCAGGTTTTCTATTCAGTGAAACCAAAAACATTATCATTATTATTATTATTATTATTATTATTATTATTATGATGATATCGACAGCCTGGAGTGGTACAAAATCAGTTCCTTATTTGTGTGACCTGCATGCAACTTCTATTAGAACACAACTGTGATTTCTTGTTGCTGTAAGGTGAATCTGACATCATTCACCAAATACTGATGATTCTAACACAGCTCGGCTAAGCAGCATAAGTATAAACAACAAGACACAGCACGCAAAGAAAGTCACACAGCAAAATAGGACATGACCCATTTTTGTGTATGAGATCTTGTCTAGGTGGAGTAACCAGAGACATTACGGATTATGGTTAACTCCATTTACAGGGTACATTGTTACAAAGTGTCATGCAAAAAAAAGGATGCGAACAGACAGCTACAAAAACAGACTTGTATTCATCCAAATTAATCCATCAACTTAAGATCATTTTGGCAAAAGAGCAACATCTCATCCTTGACTACCAGCAGAACAAACCACAGGCAAAAACAAGCCCTGATTTAGATGATGAGATAAGATGTCTAAAGTGGAGAAAATGCATTTTATCAGACCATGGAGACAAAGAGTTATGATTACTGGTCATGTTCACTATAGGTAGAAGTCACAGACTAAAAAAGTGGGTCTGCATTGAGATGTGACTTTGTTGTAAGGAGGACAACCAACAGGCTCCATTCCATTCTTGTGATTTTAACAAAAGCTTTTAGTAAAGCTAAAATGATTAGTCAGTTATAAATAATTAGTTTTGAAACTATTTTGAAAATGTATTAATTGCAAGAAAAAAGTAAAAAAAAAAATTGGTGAAAATGCTGAACGTGTACCGTTTCCAGCTACTCAAATTTTATTAAATTAGATTCCCCCCCCCCCCCCCCCATATATTATAGTAAATGGAATATCTTTGGATTTTAGAGATGTTGGTTGGACAAAACAGGTAATTTGAAGACTTTTTTATAGAAAAACAATGTTTAAATATTTATCAAGAAAATAATCAGCAGATTAACAGAATCAAATCAATTTTAGTTGCAGTTCTACATTGATTTAAAACTGCTGCTAGGTTCAAAGCAGCGGGGCATATAGATTCATTTTGAATACTGAATTCTTAGTAGCAGTACATTCAAGGTCATCTGTCCAAGGCTGTCGAGGATTTTCAAGGTTATGAATGCGTCTTAAATAAAAGTTGGGTTTTTAGCAGCCCTTCAAATGGTGCAAACTCTGATGTCTGTTCTTTGCACTTTTACATGTGGTGTTTTTGGATGGACAAAGAACACCAGTACAGTCTATGGCACATATACCTGTATTTACCTGTTTGAGTGGAGGAAACATAAATAGAAGATGTGGATAGTGGATGAGCTGAAGTGACAGGACGAAGTTAAAATGTCAACACTGCATTAAGACTTAATCATTTAATCAGACTAATATTTTAAGGCTGACAGGCAGTTATCTAATACTTGGCTCTCTAAGCAGACAGATGAAGAAATTATACTAATTTATGTCTATCAGTGTGTTATGAAAAGCTGTAGTGAAAGCTGCAGGACATTGCAGGTTTTTGTTACAGCATCGTGACGCATCGCGTTTGTACATCTTCAGTGCTCACCATTCAGGATTCCACCACAGGTGGTAATCTATCAAAACAGGAGGGCACATGCACGGTCGGTGATGTTTCTCTGACATGGGCCGGGTTTAACTGTGGCTTCTACAGTCTGATTCATCTACAAGCACAGTCATGAATCAAACACGCAGCCTCGAGCTGCGAATACTGTGGGAAAACACAAGCACTAATCCAACTTTCTCTCTTGCCACACAGGCCTTGCACTTTTTAAGGTGTAATGAATGTACATGCTGAAATTCACAGCACACTTGCCTCATTTAATATTTTCTAATTCTATTCATTCCTCTCATTGTCAGTCCCACTTACAGAATTTAGGTCTCTCTCTCTTCTTTTCCTTCGAGAGAATTTTGTTTAGTCCACTTCTTTCCAAATTTATAATCATCTCTTTGCAAACTTCCTCCCCTCTCCACTTCCCTCTCTCTTCATTCACTATACATAGTTCTCTCTCCTTTAAGAGAAGTGAGGAGGGAATGCAGCCAAGACACAGACACTAATAGAAAAGAACCACAGCTTGAGGAGATAAAGGATAATTACAAAAAAGGTTATCAAACTCGTCCTCTGGGGACACCAATCATTTTTTCTCCCACTGCTACAGTCTAAAATTGATTTTGGAATCTATTATATAAAATTATCGAGCAAAAATCTAACCACTAGCCTTCAAGTCAAAGTCTTTAATCCTATTACACAGAGATAATGTACAGGCATATAAACTGCACCTGACAAACTGGCTTTTCACACTATCAGCAGCTGCACAAACAACTTGAGACCAAAGTAGAGTAGTAGAGTCTGTTCCAGTCAGTGACAGCTCTACTGAAGAAATAGTTCCTATGAAAAGACTGTGGAGGATCAGCCAGAGTAAGCGGGAGATTGATTCTGGAGAGAGATGTGTTGTTGACCACTTGAAACTAATTTCTATTGACCTCTATTATATCTTCTATTGTATTAGGATGCAGACTGAAACCTCAGACGAATATCTCAAAATATGGACAAATAAATACAAAACTATCACTGAAGTGCGTATCACTTTATATACACAACACAAATCTTCTTAGATGAGAACAGAGGAAAATGCTTGATGAAATTTAAGTCCTCGGCCTAAAATGTGTTTGTTTGGATTAGGTGCTGCATTTGATCATTAATCTGTGATTTCTTTTTTCAATTAAACAATTAATCATTTGGTTTATTAAATCCCAGAGCACCAATGTAACGTCTTAAATGAATTGTTTTGTCTGTCCAACAGTGCATAATATGTCCAAAAGCGAATTGTTTCAACACTCGCTGACATGACTGTTAGTGGTGTAATGTAATTTTAGGCATTGGTGAAGCCAGATTTACTGACAAGTCGTACCGTATATACAGCATGTAAAGTGAGTTTATTTTTTACCGATGCATGTATTTATTAAGCTTTTTATTTAGCACTGTATCATACTTGTCATATCACATGCTGTCTTCTGTGATGTATTTCTAAAAAGATGATGTCATTCACTCTCAGGGGAGAATCTCTCCTGCTTGTTGAGGATGCGTGTAGGAAGCTTCATAAATAACGCAGGTCCTGCTCTGCAATCAGAGTATTTTTAGTCCTGTTCTAACTGTCAGTGTTACCCCTGGGAGGGATCCTGTGATGCTTGATAAATAATATATAAACTTTAGATATTTTATGTTTTCAATTAAACACAGTTTAGTTTAGTTCAGGTTTAGTTGAGCTGTTTGGGGCATCACTGCTATAGGTTTTTCCTGACATTTTTCGGACCGTTTTAATTGCTGAGAGGGGACAAGGCAGCGTTGGGCAAGAAATACAAGTGATGAGATATTCAGTTTACCTTTTTTATCAAACCAAATTATTTGGACAATCAAAGAAAGGTAAATACATCCTACAATTACAATACAATTGTCCTCTACAATTGTGCAGTGTCCATACTCAATTAGCCTGGTAGACTTTGCTTGAGTAATAATTTTAATATCAATCTCTTTTTTCTTTCCCCCAAAACGTATTAGATGTTAGTGGTTTAATGGCCCTGCTGGATTCTGTTTCAGTGATGTCACAACATAGTGTGTAAAAAAAAAAAAAAAAGACCCAACGCGTAAAGAAAGCAGACTGCATTTGGAGCCAGCAGCTTATAGCCACTTCTACATGCACAGTCTGACCACAGCAGACCGTGCACACGTACTATTTGGATCCATATGACAAGTAATTCATAAGGCCTGTGCTCACCTCCTCGAGCCGTCTCCTTTGCTCCTTCTGCTGCTCTATACGTTTCTGCCTCTCGGCCAGTAGTTGCCGCTTGTACTCCTCCTGCTCACGGAGCTGCTGCTCCTGGAGGAGCTGTTGGCGACGCAGCGCCTCTGAGCGCTCCTTGTTCTCCTGCTGCAGCCGGATGAAGTCACGGCGCAAAGTCGACTCACCTGGCACGTTGACTATGGAGCTATATGGACGATGAAATGAGAGGCTTTAGCTGGTGTGCAAGATAAGTAAAAAGAGAATTTTAACTTCAGGACCCAAATAAATGCAGTACATCAGGAATGATTTCCTGATGTTAGGATACTGAGGATTTGGTGATAAAGTGGCATCACTAAGATTTTTGTTAAATACAATTGGCAAATCATTGATAGCTGCTGTTGAGTTTGCATTTAAAATGTTCTAAACTCTAATTTCTGTAATTGTTTTAATTAAAGTTTTGGTTAGCTTCTTGTATTGGGAGAAGTTGTCATGTTTAGCTTGTTTGTAGCGCAGTTTGACAAGACAAATATACAGTATACACAGAGAGCAAGAGGCTTTCAAAGCAAACAACCAACAAATTCCTTTACACCATACTGGCTCATATGCGTTGTGATAATATATACAGTACTTACCTTGGCTCTCCTTCTTGCTCAGATGCCTCTTCCTCCTCTTCTTCACTGCCACTGTATTCATACTCTGTCTCATCTGAGGGTAGTGAGGAAAAATAATAAATAATGATGGAAATTAATGGAAATTAATTGTATTGCTTCCTGTCCCTCTGATAAAGACACAAAATCTCTCGGTTGGACTGTTAAGAGCAGCACTGTAATCGTAGGCAAACAGAGGCCCTGAGGTACTCACCCTTCTCGCCCCTCTTCTTCTTAGTTCGGTCGATGTGGTCTTTGAGCTGGATGCGGACCTGCCTCTCGTTGGGCTGGTCCCGGATGAAGGGGTGTTTCAGGAGCTGCTCGGTGGGAGGTCGTTGAGTGTAATTTTTCACCAGGCAGCCCTCGATGAAGCTGAAGAACTTCTTTGACCTATTAGGTTCAAGTTAGAAGTGATGTGTTTTGATGTGCATAAAATGACATTTTCATTAATATGGGAGATCCTTTTCACAGAGAGGATAAAGATTGAAAACTTAGCCCACCATTTTTTGGACTTGAGTCGAGGAGGAGGGTTTCTGGGAATGAGGAAGAGGGCTCTCATTGGATGCATGTCACACAGAGCTGGAGGAAACAAAGAAGAGAAGATAGGCGAGGGATTGGTGAGAGCCAAAATTCATACATTTTAGAATAGAATAAACAGGTTAAAAATACAGTTAAAAGCCAATAATGAGTGAGTTCAGTGTACAGGAGGGGTGAAGCTGAAATGCTATGTTGAGATTAAAAATGTATTATGTCATTGTAAAATTGACTTTAGAATGATCGCTTGTCACTTGTTTACCACTTGCCAGTGTGAAAGTGTTGAAAGGTTTCCCATCTGTCTTTTACTCCTTCCACTATCTGCCGTCACCAAAAACTCTACAACCTTTAGCTTTCTTTGAAGAAGAAAAACTGCACTCTTTTACTGTTTAATGCAGTAACCATAAATATACCGATTTCTCAAAATGACTATTTAATGATTCAATGTTTTAAAAATGCCCCAAAAAACACCATCAGGTTACTGTGATATGTACTTACGGGGAGCTCCCTCAGCCATCTCTATGGCCGTGATTCCACAGGACCACAGGTCACTCTGAAGGACAGAAGATAAGATTAGTTAAACAGTGAGTTTGCATGTTTCTCTCATTTCTCCATGTCTGTTCCTACACTAAGCAGTAAATGTGTCTTATCTGAGGCAGCAGTGGTTCTCTCTCAGTGGGTAAGTGTTGTTACCCTCCAGAAATTAAGCAATTTCAGTTGGTGCAAGAACAGACTTGGTGTGTCTGCCACAAACCAAAACCACAGATCTTGAAACCAGTGTGTGAAAATGTGTTTTTGTTATCTTGCTGCAGTGAACCTTTAAATATGTACCTATAGTAGAGGCCTCAAATATAGGCATTGTCACAGTGTCTAACCCAAAGATTAAAAACATTAAATGTTTTATGTTTTTATTCATAGCTAACACACCCAAATGCAAACTTCCAAAAATGTCTGGGTCGACTTTGCCACTTTCACTGTGTCACTTTGATAAGTTATTATTTATTCATACAGCCCTGCCCCTGTCACACTGTAAAACCACAGATCCAATTTATGTGCAGTTCAGATCCAGATCCAGTTCCTTACCCTATAGTCGTAGGTAGCATCTGGGTTTTCATCACAAGCGATGACCTCTGGAGCCATCCAATAGGGCGTCCCGATGAAGGTGTTCCTTCGACCTACCGTCCGGTCCAGCTGAGCACTCACACCAAAGTCCACTGGGAAATAGGACATTAACATCAGTTATTAGTGGTTAAAACCCAATCCTATAATGCATCTGAGAGTAAAAGAATATTTTTAGACTGATCAGTAAAATATATTAAAAAAAAATGTCCAATACGTTTGGGAACCTACTGATAGTGCACAACTTGAGGGTCATGTTATAGATACAGTATGAGAAACTTGAAAAATATATTGAAACAGTTTAGATCCTGTGTGAAAGCAGAATAACAGATGGGTCTTTCAAATGTCAATGTCACTCGTCCTCTTGTCATGTTGAAACCACCAAATTTAAGTCCACAGTCCCTGTCGGGTCCTGACTCAGAGTGTAAAGGTCAAGGTGCTGCTCTGTTACAAGGCTCTGTCTTTTAGCAAATTGTTTTATTATGGCCACAGTGAGACAAGGTCACAAAATGTAATTTAATCAAGATGGACAAGATGGCCTAGAATTATTTAATATTATATATAAATATATATTTTCAGAACTTTCCAGCACTATATAACAAAAATCCTAATGACATAATGAATATTAACGCAAAGATGACCCGAATAAGCAGTAGAAAATGGATGAAGTTTGAGCTAAAATCAGCACTTACTCATTACGAGATGATATAACCTTTTTCACATTTAAATTTTTTCATTTGACATTTTTATCCAAAGCTACAATTGCTACACATGTCAGAGGTCGCACGCCTCTGGAGCAACTAGGGGTTAAGTGTCTTGAATTCTCACACCAAAGCATGTGTCTTATCCACTGCACCATCACTACCCACATTTAGTTTTGTGAGGAAACTAACTTTTTCGGTTCGTTGATTGATGTGAGAAACTTTATGTTAACTGCTCCTGGCAACAGCTACCACAGTTTCCATGACTGGGATGGGGTACTTACAGTTTCCACCTGCCAGCTGGTGCACACGTCTCAAATCAGGTTTAAGTGTGTCCGCGCACCGATAGACAGGCTGAGAGAGGCATGTGAGGACGCACAGGCCCTACATGCCTAATCACGGTTACTTTTTGTTTGTTTGCTTGATGTTAATTAATACAGCTTAAAGCTTTTATGGGCTTTTTTGTGTATCAATAAATGGACATACTGTGTGAAAATGTCTGTACCAAAGAACCTAGATATTTTTCTGTGGTAGGATAATTTGCAACATGATGATCAAAATACATCTACAGTTATCTTTTAATAAATTGAAACTGAAAATAAATTAAAAGTTTCTAAAGTATTTGCATTACTGTGTAAGGGCCTTTTATATAGGCCATGTGCAATCATGTGAAACATTACAAAACAACTGTGGTCATGAAAAAGTTCTGTCTGGCAATCGGTATTTTTTCAGTGCAGTCGTCCAAACCTCAGTGCCGGCTGTGCTCCCAGTCTGCAGGCCCAGTTTGGACCCACAGTTCAACCAAAACAAAATCAACGCATACCCAGTTTGACTTCAGCATTTTCAGTCAGCAGCACGTTTTGTCCCTTGATGTCACGGTGGATGACATGATGAGCATGCAGGTGAGCTAATCCCTGCAGTGAGAAAAGGAAAAAAACAAAAACATATTAACATATTAAATGCTGCTTCACAGAGCAGTTGTGGCCTTTTCCAGCAATTTATCAGCCCAATATAACAGGAGACACTTTCAGTCTTTAGTGACAAAACCTGTTTGAGTTTCCTGCTGTAATATATTTGATTCTGAATTGGAAATTGGCATGTAGTAAAAGGGGACTAACCCTCAGGATCTCTCGGGAGATGTAGGCGATCCAGTCCTCCTTCAGTGTGTTGCCTTTGGTGTTCTTCACCAGATCTGTGATGGAACCGGCACCACAGAACTCCATCACCAGCTGGAGGAGAGAACAAGAGATACTGAGAAGACTGTGGTCATTTACACACACATACTCTCAATCATTCTGCCAGTTAGTGAGACCATCTGCAAAAAGGTGCTACACGCAGTATTGTACCATCAATAAAGCATCACCACATTCATTTTGTAGTATAACTACCTTCAACAAACAAGACAATCGCTCAGGAAATTGTCAGTCTCTGTCAGCCTGTGCTTTATTTTCCATCTTTCGATTTATTTCCCTCTTTTGGTCAGATCTGGATGGAAATGTATCTGATGTCAGCATATCATAGGAGGAGTAAAAGGCGGATTGGAAAATTCCCTTCCTCCATGTTTACCCTGTGTAGGGATTGGGATGGGAGACTGGAAGTAATGGGCTGATAGGAAATGTGGTCTAATGAAGAAACATGAGCATTAAGAAAACCACCGATGAGCACCTTCAACAGCTGGTGAACATGGACTATTATGCAGTAGGTCTCTCCACTTTAATGTAACGTCCTCAACACTTTTAATGTCAATAACGCTCATAGCTAAAAGGCTCCTCATTTGCAAAAATAGGCTATATGGGCTGGTCAAAATCAATATCATGATATCAGTAAGAATATTTTTCTGATTTCCATATAAATCACAGTATAGCAAAGATATGCAAAATCACATATAAAATAATCAAATACATGTTTAAAATCCCCTCCAGACATGTTTTAGTACATATATAAATAAAATAAAAGCAACGTGACAGCAGACAGCGTGAAGCCACAACACTGAAGGATGTAAAGGGGTCGCAGAGACAGATGTAAAAACAAATACAGGGCCATGTTGTGGGGTGAGCTCTCTCTCTCTAGGAACAGCAGAGCTGCAGGCCATAAAACAAGGTAAAATTGCCTTCAACAAACTGAGCTGCAATAAATCTTCCCTGCTGCTTTTTGTTTTTCTCTCCCTTCGCTAATCATCTCTTTCCATTTCGTTCCTCATTTTTGCTTCATTTGTTTTATTCATTTCCTCCGCACTTGTTTGTCTTTTCTTTGATTTGCTGTGCTTTTGTCAGTGGTGGAAAGTACAGTTACTCGTTTGATGTACTTTACTTGAAGTAAATTTTAAGCTACTTCCACTCCACTACATTTCACAGGGAAACGTACTTTTTACTCATTTATCTGACAGCTTTAGTTTTATTAGTTCATATTAGCTCCACTTCAACCAGCTGTAACATTAAATGTTACAGTAATAATAATCCGATAACACAGTATGAAACAGTAGCATTTTAATGGCAATTCTGCTGCCTACTTTTACTTTTGATACTTTAAGTACTTTTTGTTGCTAATACTAAGTACGATTTGAAATGCAGGACTTCTATTTATAACAGAGAATTTTTAGTGTGACATTGCTATTTGCTTTAAGTCAAATATCTAAATACTTCTTCCATCACTGTTTTTCCTTTCTTTCTCCTCCAAGATGAGGGCCAGTGGAGGCTGCAATGTTGGGGGGAAAAACATTTACGTTGTATTAACTGTTACTGTTTACAAGCAATAAAGTGAGTGAACAGGTGCGAGCATATTAACTCTGTATATAGACCCCATTTCGCCACTCCGAGAGTTTGTTGTTGCTGATCTGTTACATCTCTCTAGTCGAGTGAATTTTTTGGGCGTTGTATATGTGAAAACCTAACAGTTCATTCCTTTAGTTGTTTGTTTTTTAATTCATGCAACATACCTGTTCATTATAGTAATCTAAATATCCGAACATGTATTCTAAGATACCAATAGTCATGTGAATTCAAGTAAATTCAACTATTTTTTAAAATTAAATCAACTTCTAGCAGTAACCAAATGGAAGACGTTTTGTCCAGAGGCTGGACTTGCAGCCTGGTTTAAAACCTCTTGACAGATGACAGACAATAATCCACTTTTAGGAACAAACTTCTTTTCAAGATTTCTGATGGTGTTCCACTTGTCTCTATTTTCCTGAAAATGTTCTTATTTGACTTTATTCTGTTGCTTGTGTATTTTAGTTATGCTATGTCAGCAACTGAGAGGTAATGATTGGTCGAAATAATTGCTTTATTCAATTTCAGGAGAATTTAACTGATAACACATGTCAAGACATTACATAAATATTAATGGTAGAAGTAGCCTCACCCATAGCTGGTCGTCATGGCCCGGTGGACTTTTCTTGATGAAGGCTCCATAGTAGGTGGCTATATTTCTGTGGTGGGAGTACTTCTTCAGCATGTTGATTTCCAGCTTAATTTCCTCCTCTTCATCCTAAAAGAGAGAGAGAGGCCCATCAGTGTGGAATTATTACATTCTTATTGCACGTGAGATGGCGAGAAAGCAATTATCTGAACTAATGGACTAGATCAAAACAAACTATACAAGTCTATTTTCTACTGGTCAGGTTGTTAAAGCTGGGACAGAGAATGTATGGAAAATTAACACCAAGACTGTCCGACAGGTAAACAGCAGTTGCTATTGAGTTTTCATGATTGGGTGACCTGGAAAGATGGTCACACACTATTATTTTATTCCTCTTCCAAGGTTATTAATCACAAATCGGGAAAGTCCTTACAAGTCTTTTAAAACCTACATGCATTTTTCATCTTTATTGGTTTCACACACTTGGCTTACTTTAGAGAGCTTTAAATCAAAAGTCCAAATTACACACTGCACACTGAGATTTGGAAAGATCAGGCCCCGTTTGGCCCGTAGGTGAAAAGGGGTTTTCTGTTCCGCCTATAAAATGCTAACAGTTTCCATTCAGACGACTCAGACACAAGCTATAACTCCACTACACGGATTTACGCAAGCATTTTAACTGACTGGTAACTGATAGTACAACATACCAAAATACACACAGGAGTATGCACACAAACCAGCAAAACATCAAATGATCTAATCTGCATCTAACAAAGCACCTTTAAACACAAGCATACATATTCATGTTGATGTTAACTATTTGGTCAATTTTGTTTTTATTATTGCCAACCAACATTAATAAATTAAATCATAAATTAATTAATGAATATATCATCAAGTTTAAAATACCAAACACACTGACTTCTTCTCTGTTTCTACATTACCACCACGTGCTATAAGACTACGACTGAACTTGCGGCGCTGTTAAAAGTCCATATCATACAAATTCAACATACACATTCAAATACACAGCCGTTCTTTCACACACACACTCAGATGAGAAATAATCTCTGCTTTATATTTAATTCAAAATGTCCATTAATCATCATGTGAAAGGACTTTTAGCCTGTGTTTACCCTGAAGGTCTGCAGAGTTGTACAGCATCACCTTTTGTTGCGTAGCTCTCCAGTGCAGCCAGTCTTTACAGCTGGATGTCAAGCAGCTCATTGGGAAGTGTCGTGAATGGAACTTCCCACTTTTTTCCAAAATATTCAGAGTTGTTCCACCATGTTTTAGCAGAACGAGCCAATTATTTTCACCCTTCATCTCTATAATATTTAAAGTGTTGGTCCACCTCCCAATGGGACACTTAGAGTCATAAAAACGGTAAAGAAAATATATGAAAAAAAAGGCTAAATAAAACTCCCAGCAACCAAAGTTGAAACTCTGGAACTTTCCCCCTAAGCTGTTGTCAGTCCATCTATGAATAAGACATACTGAAGGGCCAAGCAAGGAAACAAACAATGTCCAAACCAGTGTAATAAACGGATATCACTCCAAACAAACACGCAGCCTGAACACAAAATGATAACAGAGCCAAACAAACTACCTATCTCTCCCTCTCGCCTTCTCAGGATATTACAGCACAGACTCAGACACGCGTACAGGCACAAAACAAGATCAAGCGATTACTTCTCAATCATCGTGGCATCACTGAGGCCGGGTGACATTTATTTGTGAGCGATTTGCATCAGCTGAACCCGTTTATCTGATCCCGTAGGCCGACGTGGGGCAGACATAACATGACATTTCCACTGAATGGTCGCAGAAGACAGACGGCTGCAGCCCGGACTCCTGAGCAAACGTAGCGGCGACCTTTTGCCATTTTCTAGTACAGATGTAGCAGCTGTATCATTTACACTTGCTTCGCTGATGTTGCACTTTGGCTCGTTTTGAAAAATAGTCTATCGTGCTATGTGAGACCGTGCTTAAGCACAGCAGTGCTGTACAGTCGAGTCTGATGGGAACGTCATTAGTTTTGCAGTTATTTGGTCATAAACTAAAGTATTGGACAAATTAAAATTTTAACCTGATGATGGTGCTAGATGAAAAGCCAGAGGAGCACCAAAGTTATTACAAATCACCCTGAGGAGGACATGAACGTCTGTACAAAAAGTCATGCCACTTAATTCAATAAACATTTCACATTTCATTCAAAACCACAAAAGTCGGCCTCACGTGGAGCTCATGGGATCAACATAGTCAGTAGGATAGATCACCTGGAGAGAGACAATGAATGTCTACACAGAAACTAATGGCAATGTATCCCATAGTTGTTTTAGTCTATACCAAAGTGGTGGACCAACCAACCAACCGACAGACAGCCATTTCAGTAGACATTACTAGCTGAATTGGCTTTGGGGATCTAACAGAAGATTAAAATGTGGTCGACTAAAATGATAATTGATAGCTATAATTAAACTTCTACTTCTGTCTGAATTGAAAATCAAACACTGGTTTGATCAATAAGCATCAAAAAACTTTTCCAAAAACACTACATTGTTGTGTTGTGCACTCATTTCACACTTTAAGTATTATCCCTTCTTCAACATTCACTGTGTCATCTGTGCCATCAACAGACAGAAGCAGAAACATAAACTGCAGGAGAAAATACAATGCAGCTAAACATATCTTTAGACCAATCACACGCAGAGCTCCTTGCTGAGGAGAATAACAGCCCAATGTCTTAGAAAATGCAATGAAACTAAAAACAGTTATAGAAGAAAACCACTAAAATGACTGAACTATAGTGAAGTTATATAAGGATAGTTTTTTTAATTGCCTTTATATTTATCGCTGCAGGTAGCTTTTCTGTTGGCTGGCAAATTCAGTTAGGCTGTCAAAACAGTTTTTTTTGTTTTTCTTTTTAACACAGGAAATGATTGGTGTTCAATGTTGTTGCTTGCAGAAATTAAAACACTCACATCTTATCAAGCATTGCAGCTGCAGAAGCAACAGATGCCAACGACTATGCTGACATTTCTGAGTCTGGTCCAGAGCTTAAAGGGCAATTCAGCCAAACTTATTTAAAGATGAAAGAATCCACTGTAAACTTCTACATATCTATAAAAACACATTACCTGCAGCGCAGCTCAGTTCAGCTCAGCTTCACTATCTCTGAAATCCAGAACACCCAGTCAAACTGATTTTTGGTGACTGACAACTGAACTTATCTATGATTATTTAAATATCAGCTAATTTTATGCTGTCAGACATTTGTGTGTTTTTAAATTGTAGAGGTATCACTTCGGAACAAAGCTCTTGTTAAGTCCTCCCACTAACTATATTTGCACTTTAAGCTGTTATTTCTGTGATGAGGAAGTTAAACCGAGCTTGTTTTCTCATGAGATGTTTAAGCAAGCAGCAGGAGCAAGAGGACATTGCAGAGCACGTCCATATTTGTCCGCCACAAAAAGCTGTTCGCTTGTTATTTATTTTGCTTTAATTTGGGGTGGCCGTTCGAAGAGTTCAACAGGGGTTTTGACTGTGTGTAAAGATCATGGGGGTCAGTCTATCAGCCAGCTAGTCAGCCAATCCCTTGAATCACAGTCAGCCAGCCAGTTGGTTACTGCTTCAGTCAGGCAGCCAGTCATTTAGCCAGGCAGCTAGCCAACCAGTGAGTCAGGAAGCCAACGAACCAGACTGCTAGCCGGCCATGCCTTCTGTTAATCCACTCATCAGAAGCAGACCAAGCAGTCATCCAGCCAGTCAACCAACAGGTGAGCCAGCCAATTAGTCGGTCAGTTAGATTTACCTTTCCTTAATAATTTTTATGTGGAAATTTGAGCAGGATCATGCTAAAAGACGTACACAAAGTGAACAAACAGACAAACAGTACCTTCTATGGTCAGGAGAACATCCCATCGCCCACAAACTGTCAATCATCTGAGCTTTTTTGGAACAAGTGAGCATAATTACAGATGCAGAGGACAGACTGGAGGAGGAGAAACACAGCAGGAACGCTCTTACACATTTTTCACCAAGGGAGACGAATAAAGGTTCAAAATAACAGCTTAAAGAGGGGAAGAGAAGATCGACTTCAATCGACAAAACATAAGGAACATTCCGTTATGTTCAGGCCAGTGCAGATGGTTTGAGAGACTTTTATGCTCATGTAAATGAGACAAAGCGGTCTCAAAAGGTTTGTTCTAGAATATACTGTATATTCTTGAACAAAAAGGAAAGCCTAGCAAACCAAAACAATCGGTCATCGCTGGATTATAAAGCAACAGCAACCTCGAAATGGGCCCTTAAGACGCTTAACCACAATGATGTACTGGGAAAAAGGTGCCAGGCAGAAAGAGACGTTGCTGTCTTGCTTCTTCTAGCAAGATGGTGACAGTGACTTTGCGTACTAATTCCAAAATTATACTTTTTTGATACCCGTTGTTGGGTTTTTAATTCACGAACCACCATCCAAGACCACTGGCTGAATATAAAAAGGTATCATCAAAACTATGATAGAAAGCGGCAGATATCTGCTCAAAGTGTAAGAAGAATAACAAAGAATCTGAAAGGACTGCAACTGATGATTTGTTTATTGATTATTCTGATAGATTATTTGTCTACCTAAACATTTTTTATTTAGTCTAGTGATAAAAATGCAAATCACAATTTCCCAGAAGGGGCGTGTCTTGCCTCGGTCATATGTTCCCCTATGTCTCTCTCTCTCTCCATCTTGTTTGTACACTGTCCATTTATTTTGGGCACTTTTTGTGTCCATCACATTTGTCCTTGTAGCATCACTGTGCATAACTGTCTCCTGTAATGACTTTAGTTCATGTATCCCATCACTATGACAACTCACCTCTCTCTCTCTCTCTCTCTCTCCCTCCTTCACTCTCTTTCTCTGTCTGTCTCTCTTTGTCTCACTTTCCCTGAACTATATATCCGCAGTTAAGTTGTTGAAAACAAGGCGTCCTGAAGCTACTCATTATCATTCCTGGGCATGAAATGGTGGGGAGACTCGGTGGCGGCCATATTGCTGCTAAAGTATTACAGCACACAATGTGAGCAGAGCTAACAGAACCGCGACCCCGGGGGAGCGGACAGCCGCAAAATTGAAGCAT